TGCCGCTATTGTAACAGGACGTATTATCTATACTGAGCAGCTGAGTTCACCCCCATGGTGAGGTTCTTTTTTGTTCGATCTTTAGTTTTCTGTCTAGTTTGTATCTTGTTTTTGATTGTCTTCTGTCATTATGTTGTCTGTCCTTCGAATTATGATTTGCATTGTCCCTTGGTATCTTCTAACTTTTTTATCATCTGGTTGTTCAACAGCTTTTAATCTCTGAAATCACAAAGTAATTTGATACTAATTATGAAAGAAACAAGAGAATTATTGGGATTGTGGCACCATTTTAGAATAAATGCGTGGTCATCAGTAACATAAATATACTAGTATTGTAAGTCAATCGAGTCCAGATTAAAATGTTCGATTTCAAATTTCCGGAGGAACATTTGGTTCAGTTATCTCCTTGTAAGTTTAAGAATGGTAAAAATGAAGTCATCTCTGCTCGTGATGGGCAATCACATGTTCAGCTGCTAGATACTTACCTCTTACATGTCAAAACATTAGAATACTTATTGTCCAGATTAGATACCTACGTATATGACTAACGTTCATCATTAGTGTCCGTCTCTCGTTGATTGATTCTATTGTATTTTTTAGGAATTAGTTCTGTCCTTAATGATCAGCCAGTGACGTCAAGTCGTGGTCGACATTACATGGCAACAGGTAGGAAAATCCATAACGATACATTACTTATTTCTCCTATTCATTAGCAATCTCCTGCCGAACGCTTTATGGTATCTCTATTTAAAAGACATTATTTTCTTACATAAAAGCTGCATTAAAGTATATTTAGAAGTGTTTCCGTACTTTCAGGATATTGGATATGAAACGAAAGACTACAAATTAATTTATGAGCTGAAGTGAAGGGTTATATTAGTAAAGATACTCCAATCCTGCATAGTTATTCTCTGTTGTATTCACATCAATGAAAGAGAAAATTTCTACGTGTCTATTTTTCATAAAAACTGCTTACTGGAAATATTGTTTTTCTATCATATAAATGCTAATGTTTAAACTAAAAAGTTTCCGAATGGAATAGGTTACAACGTTTAACATCTCCAAGACCATATAGATATGTTTAAAGTTGTACAAAATTTTGTTTTGGAAACAGGGAGATTTGGTTAATAAATCTTTTGGTTTTTTGTCGATTTGTATTTTGAAACTTTGTAATTGAAATTTATTTTGTGGAACATATACGTATCATATTCACAGCTAAGACAACAATTTTAAATGAATTGATCTTTGGGTTAAACTGACTTCTGAGTAACTGGCAAAACACACAGGAATAAGCAAGTAATGTAAATTGTAAATTGCAAATTATATTATAGCGTGTTTCTTTTCACTATGTTCCCAATGTTGTCACCTTGTTAAGGGAGACGTATTTATATATGTTCTATATTTCTATTGTATAATTGTAATTTATGCACTTTTGAAAAATAAGATATGTATTAAAGTAAGATCGTAAAACCAAACCCCTGAAACACGATTTAAATTGACACAAAAATAATTGTGATGTAATGTGAACGTGTAGATAATACTCTAAATACAGAGGTACTATGCTCTTTGATAGACAGCAGCTGTTCCTGTGTTATAACGTATGCTCTTTGATAGACAGGAGCTGTTCCTGTGTTATAACGTATGCTCTTTGATAGACAGCAGCTGTTCCTGTGTTATAACGTATGCTCTTTGATAGACAGGAGCTGTTCCTGTGTTATAACGTATGCTCTTTGATAGACAGGAGCTGTTCCTGTGTTATAACGTATGCTCTTTGATAGACAGGAGCTGTTCCTGTGTTATAACGTATGCTCTTTGATAGGCAGGAGCTGTTCCTGTGTTATAAGAGCATACGTTATAACACAGGAACAGCTCCTGTCTATCAAAGAGCATATGATAGACAGGAGCTGTTCCTGTGTTATGAATAACGTATGCTCTTTGATATACAGCAGCTGTTCCTGATAACGGTTATGTTGGTCATAATCTCTGTATCAGTCTCAACCGATTCGTGGTGGCTAACGTTAAATGTGTTTTCAAAATACTCATGTAATATATTATGAATTACATTTTTTATTGATATATCGTGCAAAGTTATACAAATCTTAATTCAGTGTATTACTTTAGATGAACTTCCGACGTCTTTCTTGTCTTTATTTTGAGTATCGACAGTCTAGTTTATATCACACCCTCAGATAACTTTCAAGATGAAGTGTGACATTATATGGCAATGTTGTTTATTTGTAATATCATTATTTCCGAGTATGAGATCTTTATATCCCAATCTTTGTCCGAGTAACTTTATCATGAAAACAAGAACTTGTCAGTTCCATTAAAATCTTGATCTGTTAAGTAACGGATTGTATGTTGGCTGTAGGTACCAAAATGGGTTATGTCATGAAATATTGGAAAGATCCAATTATAAGACAGAGTTATTCATAAGTTTAGGAATGTTAACTAAACAACTCCAAACCATGGCAAATATATAGCCGGAGTAATAATCCATTTCATGGAATGGCGTTAATCTGGATATAATAATGTCTTTATATATTGGGCATTAATGGTAATTAAAATTACATTGAAATAGATAACATGATTTTTGGCTTTAATCTTCTGAGAATATGCCACTAATTAAAGTTTTAATCTGCCTTCATATTAGCTATTGATTAAAAACAGGGCTTTTAGTATTACAAACGCATCTGATGACATACATTAACTAAAACATTTATTCGAGTATGTTGCCATAATTTTTCAAGTTACCTAATTTAACTTAAAGAATAGTTACAGTTATGTCTGTTTTAATTAAATTTGTAAGAACATTTTCCATTATTGATAGAAAATAATATGTTATTGGCAATATATAAAAGAGACAAAATCACATAAAAATGTTTTGATTGCCTCATTGTAGTTACCGTAATCATTGTTTATTTCATTGTGTCTGATGTTGGATCGCTGTCCATTCACGTGTAACAATAATAAATTGTTTTTACCCAACATTCACAACTAAAAAGGTTGTCAGTCTTGTTCCTTTGACTTACGTCAAAACACGTTCACATCACAATCATCCTTCCTGCAATTTTATCCGTACAGTTTGTACTTATATTAGAATCATAATTGATTATTCAAAGCTAGGTAGATATATCAAAATCATAATTGATAATTGAAAGCTATATTAATCCTGTCGTATACTAGTGACATGGTTTGTTTCTAAGAGCTTTTCGCCTTTTTAAAGTGGAATTCTCTCAAACTTGACTAGACTCGCTTTTTTATGCTTTTTTATAATATGAACACTTATCTATCATTGAGGCCTTATGTGACTTGCGGTTTCTTTTTATGTTTGATTGTTGGCTTGTTGTCCCGTTGACGTTTACCATATAGCATTTCTTAGTTAGTTTGTAAAGCATTAGAATAACTTCCCTTGTAATAATCATTAAAAAAAATCAAATACAGAAAACATCGGATTCAATGTGAGTGTTTTGTTTACCAAATCGTTTGTTTACCTTTCGAAAAACACCTCGATCATCATTTAAAAAGTCTCATCGTTTATACCCTCTTAGACGTGCGAAAACTAGACAACAACAACAAAGATAAAAATAAGGGTTATTTTAAACGTTAGATCTATAGCGGAGGCAATGTAGTATGAAAGATTTAAACCCATATAATTATATATGGGTCTATAGATGATTATAACTGATTTTTACTAATATATGTATCTTTAAGAGTTTTGTATTAACAAATTACCTTTTACTAGAGGAAATGCAACACAACTTCCTTATGTTAAATGTTCTAGATAGCTTATGTTAAATTATTTTATATGCACTGACTTAATATAATCCTTTGATGTAGTTTATGCATCCGTTTTCACATTATCTCCTCAATTACAATTTAAATCGCATGTACAAACTTTTGTTGTTTGAGAAAAATCAACATGCGCAAACCACTACATCTATTATAATGACCCATGATGACGCTATGGTTCCTCTTGTTGTGAGGTATAGGTTTCACTTTCGCAAGCTTTTCAATAGACGAAGATTAATCCCCTCCTATTTGCACGTGATAACGTTGGAACTTAACAATGCACCAGCGTGTCACGGCATATAACATTGTAATTCTTGTTGTTGGTAATGTTTTGTATTCTAATGTGGACTGTAGTTCGTCCATAAGATGATAAAATTACATTCACAAAAGAGGACTTTTATTTCATTGAATAGATCTGGTCTGATTGTCAATCGATGATGCCAACTAATAAAAAAAGTCAAAATTTACAAAATGCACAAAAAATAATTAGTATGAATGAGATTATGTATTGCTTACAGATAATTAAACCGTGAATGTAACACCGATAGACACAGTTTCCCTTTATACACTGATTTTTTGTGACTCTATAAAAAGTTTGTATGTGGAATGTTGTGTTGGCGAAAGACCTCAAAACTATTTTTGTACGACTGTGAAATTTTCAACAGAAAGTCACTCCGAAGTAGAAGTAGTAGTGGAAGTATGTGTATGTGAATAATTTTTATGTCTACACATAAATAATATCTTATACTTTATTCACATAAATGGATTTAATTGTTAATGTTTGGTAGTCTTTATAACAATGTTTACCTCAGCTTGAAGACGTTAATGAGGAGTTGTAGTATGATTGCCCATGAGACAACTATCCACCAGAGTCCAAAGGACGAGGATGTAAACAACTAAAGGGCTCTGTATGGCCTTCAACAATGAGCTAAACCCGTATTTTATAGTATAAGCTATAAAAGTTAAATGTATTCTTTATGACGAAAAACGTCTCCATAAAGCAAAAAAAATATGATAATACATATCTGATTAAATCTATTTCGTCACCGTGTGAAACCTGAGTATCTGATACTTTCGATAAATGTGGTACAAAGTTTTAATACAAATTCTCTTTTTGACAATGTATTAGTTATTCTTGTCGCATACATGAAATGGACATAAATCATTCAGACTTTTACGTAGTATGTTTAAACGTTCACAAATTATTTAACTAGTCCTTACAAATGTTTTATTTACATTTGACAATTTAAATAAGAAATTGCAGGAACTGCAAAAGTGAATACATGTTAATGTGTTTCATTAGTGAATCAATATGACGTGAAAACCAGTATATCATTTGTTTAAGTACATAAACTAAATCTAAATTTAAATTGTATGTTTGGATTTGATTTCTAATTTATCTGACTGTCGACCGGGTACCAGTCTTTCAAATTAAAATATATATTTGACTAGTGTATAGTGTGTTAGGATTTCACGGTTGTTGGACATATAAGTTTATTTTGTGGATAAGTCCAATGTTTGGCAGAACCCGTCCTTAATCAGCTTATACCAATATTGAGTTCTGTACGTGTATGGATCATTGTATACCAAAGTCGATTTTAAAAACTGTGCTTCAATTTTAATGGCAAAGAATTTGTGCGAATATTTAATAAAAAAAGATTTTTCATGTTACGGCTTTGTGCATGGATACAAGATGAGTTGGAAGTGAGATAGAATGGTCAAAGTTTTATTATGGCAGGTATGGTAATTTATAAGCGTGGAAAAGTAAATAAACTTTTACCCACTTTTTATTTGTTCAATTGACATTTTGAAGCGCATTTTACGTTCAGGGGTTAAATACGTGAACATTTTCTTTTCAAATTTAGAATGTTCTATCAACAAAAGCAAAGTAATTTCTATACAAATAATTTCTTTATATAGTTGATAGTATTTCAAAGCATAAGTAAAACAATAAATGATCATATTTTCATATTAAATTTAAAGTAAACAGACTTGTTATTCTATTAAGTGCAGCCAAATGTGAAACATTTTAACCTAGATAACTTAATTATGTATTGTTTATAAAAGAAAGACCTTTATTTAAGTTATTGTTCTTTTGACTTCATGTACGAACTTAATTATTCACAGTTTGTAATATAACGGAGTAATTGCATGCTTCAATAACTTTATAGTGCAACCGACTTATCCGATATGTATGGCATATTACTTAAATGATTTGTTTACACAATTTCAAGTTTGTTTGTGATGCTGTTGCCATATTTCTCTTCCTTTCTGCATAATTGTTTGTGAGACTGTTGACATATGTCTCTACCTTATTGCAATATTGTTTGTGAGACTGTTGACATATGTCTTTACCTTATTGCAATATTGTTTGTGAGACTGTTGATATATGTCTCTACCTTAGTGCAATATTGTTTATGAGACTGACTGTTGACATATTTCTCTACCTTAAAACATTATTGTTTGTGAGACTGACTGTTGACATATTTCTCTACCTTAAAACATTATTGTTTGTGAGACTGTTGACGTATTTCTCTACCTTAGTGCAATATTGTTTGTGAGACTGACTGTTGACATATTTCTCTTCCTTTATGTTTTATTGTTTGTGAGACAATGGACATTTGTCTCTACCTTATTCCAATATTGTTTATGAGACTGACTGTTGACATATTTCTCTACCTTAAAACATTATTGTTTGTGAGACTGACTGTTGACATATTTCTCTACCTTAAAACTTTATTGTTTATGAGACTGTTGACGTATTTCTCTACCTTAGTGCAATATTGTTTGTGAGACTGACTGTTGACATATTTCTCTTCCTTTATGTTTTATTGTTTGTGGGACAATGGACATATGTCTATACCTTATTCCAAAATTGTTTATGAGACTGACTGTTAACATATTTCTTTACCTTAAAACATGATTGTTTGTGAGACTGTTGACGTATTTCTCTACCTTAGTGCAATATTGTTTGTGAGACTGTTGACATATTTCTAAACCTTAGTGCATTATTATTTGTGAGACCGTTGACATAATTTTCTACATTAGTGCATTATTGTTTGTGAGACTGTTGACACATTTCTCTACCTTAGTGCAATATTGTTTGTGAGACTGTTGACACATTTCTTTACCTAAGTTGCCATATTGTTTATGAGACTGACTGTTGACATATTTCTCTTCCTTAACGTTTTATTGTTTATGAGATTGTTGACGTATTTCTCTACCTTAGGGCATTATTATTTGTGAGACCGTTGACATAATTTTCTACATTAATGCATTATTGTTTGTGAGACTGTTGACACATTTCTCTACCTAAGTGCAAAATTGTTTATGAGACTGACTGTTGACATATTTCTCTTCCTTTATGTTTTATTGTTTGTGAGACTGTTGACGTATTTCTCTACCTTAGTGCATTATTGTCTGCGAGACAATTTTCTACATTAGTGCATTATTGTTTGTGAGATGTTGACACATTTCTTTACCTTAGTGCAATATTGTTTGTGAGACTGTTGACATATTTCTCTTCCTTTATGTTTTATTGTTTGTGAGACTGTTGACGTATTTCTCTACCTTAGTGCATTATTATTTGTAAGACCGTTGACATAATTTTCTACATTAATGCATTATTATTTGTGAGACTGTTGACACATTTCTCTACCTAAGTTCAATATTGTTTATGAGACTGACTGTTGACATATTTCTCTTCCTTTATGTTTTATTGTTTGTGAGACTGTTGACGTATTTCTCTACCTTATTGCTTTATTGTCTGTGAGACAGTTGACATAATTTTCTACATTAGTGCATTATTGTTTGTGAGATGTTGACACATTTCTTTACCTTAGTGCAATATTGTTTGTGAGACTGTTGACATATTTCTCTTCCTTTATGTTTTATTGTTTGTGAGACTGTTGACATATGTCTCTACCTTATTGCATTATTGTTTGTGAGACTGTTGACATATTTCTCTACCTTAAAGCATTATTGTGTGTGAGACTGTTGACGTATTTTTCTACCTTATTGCAATATGTTGACATATTTATTTACCTTATTGCAATATTGTTTGTGAGACTGTTGACATATTTCTCTACCTTAAAGCATTATTGTTTGTGAGACTGTTGACGTATTTGTCTACCTTAGTGCGATATTGTTTGTGAGACTTTGACATACTTCTCTTCCTTTATGTTTTATTGTTTAAGAGACTGTTGACATACTTCTCTTCCTTTATGTATTATTGTTTGTGAGACTATTGACATATTTCTTTTCCTTAGATCATTATTGTTTGTGAGACTAAGTTACTTTTCCTTTCAAATATTACCTGACAAGGCTGAATTAGGAAACCAACCTTACCTTGGAAAACCGACAACAGTGCTTCTTTTAATCATAAAAGACTGTCTGTTTCTCATAGTTCTTCCATCGAGAGAGTGAGAAAAGATAGTTTTGTTTTGAGTCTGATTTTTAAGGTTTCGCATAAGCTTTTAACTTTATTTCTTAATTCGTAAGTGTAATTACGTATAACTGTATATCGATATTTTAAAACGTGCTCTCATTATTTACTACAGAAATAATGTTTGCTTAGCTTCCAGTGGCAAATACTTCATACAAATACAAGACGAGAAAATGAAATTAACACTAAATCTGACAAGTAGGTTGCCTCGCAAAAGACCACCTACGGACCCTTCACATAGATATTACAAGGGTTCTCTATCGTGCAGAAAGCGTGTCACGAATGTGACAGTAATGTTATATCAAAAGGGAAATTACAGTGCATAGTTTTCTAGCAGTTCACATTTGTTTCCATATTTATTTTTATCAATTATCGTTTCTAACTTGAAATTTGACTGAGCAAATATTGATAATGTTAGCGATAGAAAAAGGCGTAAAGAGATTTCCATAAGTGTGTTTAGAGTATTGATTTTAATATATTGTAATGTATTTATCAAAGAAGTCGATCTTTCATATTTTATCAGTAGTAATTCCTTTTTAAAATATTTTAATAAGAAATTTATATATGGTGTGCAGATGTGAATGTGAGGCCATCGACACTTAATTTATTTGATCTTTAACTGATAGCAAGTATCTTCCCTTGAAGATGTTGATGCTTCTTGCAAATAACACATATATATTCAGGCTATGAGTATAATCCTGCTTTGCACTATGCCACACTCGAGACTAGATTTTTAAAAATTTTCAAACGTGTAAAATTTCGCAAGGTATTTTTTTCGATCAGACTTCCCGACATGGACTCCGTCACTGTTTAGCAGATTATGTCCCTACTCCTAAGGCGGATTGGTCACATGATAAAAATAAACAAAATGCATTGCGGACTTACAACGAGTATCGAAAGCTTTTGTAAACTTTCAGCAATGATTACTTCTTAAATACTATAGTCTAAAGACGCATTTTAAATGTAAACTTAAACAACAACAACAAAACACACACATATCAGTAATGCGATCCGATTAGTAACACCTAGAGGTGTTAGTTGTTTGTCTTCCACTTTGGATTGTCCATTTGGTATCTTAGTTAAAGTATTGACTAAATCTCGAAAGTCATCATATATAATAAGTTCGGTTGAAAGTGCATCTTTGATTTTCTATATATGCTAAGCCATCAGCATTGTAATTGATTTGGTCTTCAAACTGTTTCGATTCGATGAGTCTTGTGTAGACGAAACGCGCATTGTGTAGAATACAAGCCTGGTATCGTATAATTTAAAAGACTGTGACTATGAGATAGCTGTCAATATTAAAATGTATATATATATCTAGTCTTATTTTTGTTTTACTGACAGTGATCTTATTTCCTGATTTAAATAACAATTTCTATATTCCTCTGACATAGATTTCTTATGAAGGTGTGGGATTATATTTTTTTATATATTAAAAACAAACAGAAGTTTAAATCCTGCATTGATATTAAAGTATGCCGAATAAAAATATAATGAATTCGATTACAGGTAATTATTAAGGCGTTCGGTAAAATCCTTTATGGATTAGCGTGCTTGTATGTATTTTAAACATTGTAAAACGTTTGCACTCTTTTGCCTGTAATACGAAAGAATAAGTTTGCTCTCCAAACCGGTCAACACTTTAAATTTATACATCTGTACTTAATGTATGCTGCATCACCACTATCCCAGGTAAGGGGAGAGTTTAACCCCGCCACACTCTGTATGTGCCTGTCCCAAGTCACGTGTCCGAGGCTGTAGTTCATTTGTCGTCGTTGGTTAATGTCTTTCATATTTGTTTTTCGTGAATTGGTTTGTTATAATTTAGGCCTATAATTGCTTACATCCACTTCATTTAAACTTTGGTGGATAGTTGCCTCATTGGGAATCATACCACATCACCTTACTTTTATATTAATTAACAACAAATGATATGGACTGAGCAGGCATCACACGGTAAAACGAACAATAAGTTGTCAAGAATCATGTCATACTCACTATAATGAACAGGTTTAATGAACCCCTCCCCTCCTCTGTTTGTTGTCTGTTTGAGGAGTATATCAACGAAAAGCAGCCCGTCAACAATATTAAAAGAGAGAAGTTTGAATATTTTTTGAGGTGTCCAAAATGCTAGAGGATAAGCATTTTGCAATAATTGACAGTAACAAATATGTGACATATTTACCATTAATAAGTAAAGATTATGAAGAAAAAAAAGTGTTATATGTCAAATTATATATAATCAGTCATCTAAGCAGTGTCCATTTTTTAATAAATAGTTAAAAATCAAAATGTTACCTATGTAAAAAGTGCAAATTTCTTACGTTTTGTACAGAAGTCGGTCAAAATGAAAGAAAAACGACGTCGCGTAATGTTACCATTACTAAACTGAATACTGTGCGTATATACTGTGCGCGCACTATATATGTTTCTATACTTTTTACTTTTAGCTGTGTATAAATATATAAATGTGCTGCTATTTGGATTTTAGTTTTGTTGAATTTTGATATTTTTACAATATGACTTTAATTCCGCCAAGTCAAAACTGCCAATCACAAGCCTTAATAAAAGAGGAGGAAGTCATAAAATACACAAGCTCAAATGTCATGTAGAAAAGGCGCAAATGTCCTGTAGAAAAAGCGCAAATGTCCTGTAGAAAAAGGTGCTAATGTTCTTTTTATAAAATCGGAAACGTCACCTATAGACAAGTATTAAGCATTTGTCAATAAGAATAAAAAGGCTTTTTTTCCACAAAATATGATGATATTTTTCATTGTATTTCAGATGTGTCTCCAGAATTAGTTACGCATTTTTTAAACGAAAATCCAGAATTTCTAGACAGATATGTAACTACACATGTTTCAGAGGATAAAATTCGACAATGGTCACTACGCAAAGGCAGTAAAAATGTCCACACAAGACAACATAATTTAAATGGTAAGTTTCTAGAAGTTAAAAGTTTAACAAATCGCAGATCTGCAGGCACGAAAATAATCCATATTTTGTCTTTAATTTTATTGCTGATAATAAAAAAATCCTGTTATCATTGTAATATTGACGTTATGTTGCTATCATTTGAACTTATGACAACAACGAGTATTTCAGGTGCGGATGATTAAGACATGTTTAAATGGGTTCTAGGAGAGGGAGTCCACGTGGTAAAAGGAGATTTAAGCCTAGTTTTTGTCGAAATTGGGCCGAAATATTCAGTACCTCCCCGTGATCGACATTCCCACGGACTCCCACTAGCTTGGACCATTATACTAGTCCCATCCGCTAGCCAACGTAGCGCAGCGGAATATAATGAATGAATTGTTCGGGTTACGATATTTGGCGATTTTAAATAAAATCTGAAAAAAGGAAAGCTAGGGTTCCAACCCCAGGAACAACTGCTTTTCAGGATTTATCCATGTAGTTTATATCACCTTTTCTGTATTTTTATTTCCCAAATTACGAAAATTGGTAAATAAGCATACATGAACATACAAACTAATCACAATTTTGTAAGAATGAACAATAATTTATATGAATAAAAAAACACTGAAGTATACTGAGTATCATTAGAAAAAATTAAAATCACAAAAATACTGAACTCCGAGGAAAATTCAAAAAGGAAAGTCCATAATCAAATGGCAAAACCAAAAGCTCAAACACATCAAACGAATGGATAACAACTGTCATATACCTGACTTGGTACAGGCATTTTCTTATGTAGAAAATGGTGGATTGAACCTGGTTTTATAGCTAGCTAAACCTCTCACTTGTATGCCAGTCGCATCAAATTACATTATATTGACAACAATGCGTGAACAAATCAAACAGACACAATAGGTAAAAATGTCAAAAATAGGGGTACGGCAGTCAACATTGTGTTATCATCGTAATCACTATAAAAACAAAAAAATGTAACAAAGAAGCACAAAAAGGCATACATCAAATTTAACATCATTAGAAACGCATCATATTCCAAGCACCCCTTTTGCCCTTTTTTAATAGATAATAAAAAGAGTTCTTGTATGACTAATTAAAAAGAAATAATTAAGAGAATAAATTATATTGTGTAGATCAAAAGTTTTAGGTAAATAAATAGTTGTGTGACACTGAAAGTTTTTAAAAGATGTTGTTGAAGACTTACTAGAAGGTCAACATACTGTAATCACAACCGTTAGGTCAAAATCGGAAAGCTCTGAAAATAATTCTCGTAAATATTCTGTGTACATAACATAAACCTCCAGAATCACAATCTAACAACAACTGGTGAACTTTTAAAGAAGATTTGTTAGTTTGTATTCAGTTTATCCAGCCGGACTGAATGCGTGTCACCAGAGACATCACTCAGATATTAAAATAAAAAAAATGTCGAGTGCCTCTAAAATAAATCAACAACTTTCATTAAAGTGCACAAACTTGATTTTAATTCAACATGATCAAATAAACTGAAAATACAGTTGAGAATTAGGAGAAGTTTATCGTATCATTGACTGATTGCGAAGGCTGTGAAATGTCTTCCGGAAATAACCCACAATAGATCCAGATTCGGTGGCCTATTAGTATATAAGTTTCCGGTATGAAAAAGTGTATGTGTTTCAGTCAAAATAATTATGTTTGACGCCTTGGTAGGTTCTTGAGGTCCTGTCAGGTTTTAAAACATTTCGAGTTGCACAGATTTTTCTGTATTAATTTAGTGGTATAAATTAACACGGCCATTAATTTTTATCAAAGTTATGTTGGAACTTAAAAAAAAAATAGACTTCAAATGTCACACAGTCCAAAGAATTTTTAGACAGAGACATTTAGTATATATGTCTCTGTTTTAGAATAGCCTTACAAGACGTCATAATTATTGGACTAGATTTACTTACCCCCATCCCAATTTGTTTCAAATGAATACTTTTTGTATGTTTTGGACTGATTGTTTTATCATTGAAAATGAACAGGCTACAAAGATCAAACTATCATTACTTTTTTTTTTATACATTTTGTATTTTACCACCCAACCCCGTCTAATAAAGATTTTTCTTATTTACCATTAAATATATGTTCTAAATTAGGTTCAGAAATATGATTTCTTTCTTGCTGCAAATTAAGTTTAAAATATGAGGTGCCATAACCACACAGTCTTCTTTAATTTCATTGTTAACATGCAATAAAATTGCAAAGAGACCTTCTTATATAATCAATTTTCTAAACTTATTTATTGTAAATAATATCCACCCAAACCCTAGAAGGGTCGACGATACATTAAATGCAAAGAAATCAAAAACCAAATCAGTTCAGGTAACAAACTTTTTTGCTTCAAAATTTGCTATGAATTCATTTCTGTGTTAAAAGTTACATTTAAAATATTTAAGAGTGTCTTATTGTTTTTGAGAAATTTATTATTTTTTTCTTATTCCACCTGCATTTTAGTATATTTGATAGAAACAGTCTCTCGCACCCAAAATAAAGATTTATATGCATTGATTATGCATTGTTTACACTGATATTGTAACTCGACATGTGAAAAGATATTTTGTAATATTTTTACAATGGAAATCAAATAACTTTTGGATGCAAATGTTTTCAGCCATTGTCTTACCTTTAAGAAGCATAGAATTGAACATTGTTTTGTTTTTGAGAAAGTGGATACATTTTGTTTGTTTTGATAAAATTTCGAAGTTACGAAAAAAAATGACCAATTAATTCTCAAACATAGCCAATCTTTGATATTTTTCCATGCAAATAATTTATTTAACTCAGTGTTTATATTGCAATTAAATTTGACATGTAATTGTCATTCTAATAATACCCTAGTACATAGCTATATTAAGGAGATATTAAATCATAACACTAACATGATCAAAGAAAACAAACATGGCACCTGATCACGGTATAAGTTTTGACAAGACCTATGAAAATGTTTTGTCTGAATCTTAATGAAATTATTTTATGATTTTATTTTAAATTAATGAAAGATAACCTAGAATGGATGTAAAAATGTAACTGAGGTGAAATGTATATATTTTTCAATTTTCTAAATCCTTCATCACACTGGTAACCAGTAAATTATACATAATCCTAATTAAACCAGTAACATGCAGAGTTACAGAACATAATTATAAATGGAATAGTTGCATATGTGTATTGGTAACAACTTTGTTTCTATAGTCCTGACTTCTACTCAAGAAAAGTTGAAAAATTTGATAGATAGTGGTCAGAAAAGCATCTAAACTAGAAAATTCACTTATTTCACAGAAAATGTATCTCTCTTAGAAAGACATCCTGATTAGGCACGAAATATTTGCCACTGGGCATTTAGCAAGCAACAATCAATTTATTTACTGGTAAACAGAAAACAAACTTTCATTTTATTTGGTCTTAAAACATATGAGACATGAAAAGATAACTAAAACTTGAGACAAAAACTTATAATTTATGAGAGTTTAAAAATCAAAAGAGTCAAAACATCTGAGGTTATCTGTGTGTCATTGCCTGTGGAATTTAAAACAATTATTTACATAACAAACACTTGCACATCAAACCTAATCTGAGCTGGTCATGTGGAATTGTCAACACTTGGCGCTACCCACACAGCACAGAGATACGTCAAGATGTCTAGGCTATTTTGTAACCTGACATTTGTTACCATTTTCAATATATCTACATCTTATTCCTGTTTCAATATTTTTACAATTTAATAATATATTTTGTATTCTTTATTAGGAGAACTATTGAGAGAAAAGAAAAGTAGTAAATGGAAGGTGAGTGGTTTAATTAAGACTAAGCATTGCTAACCCTACCCCACCCCCAAAAAATTGGGGGTGTTCTTAGGTGCTCAGAAAGATAATAATTCATTACTTTATCAATAAAAAATGTTTTCCTACAATATGACGCAAGGTGCCACATTTTACAGTTATATTATATCAAAAGATTGGTTATGTATTCCATTGCTATTTGACAAGTTTTACACATAAATGTGAACATTAAGCAAATACAGATTATATTAATGTCGTCACTTTAAACTTTGAATGAAATATTGTCCTAAAAGAAATGGGCTTTTGACATGAATGGCCATTAAATGTCATGTTTAAGATAACAATGTTGGTCAGTTTACCTACTGATAATACTCAAAGATTTATTACCAATACCTATGTTTCATCTTACGTCTACATCATAGGAAGGTAGTTTGCCATTACTTATTGGTAGCTAAATGTAAATATAAGATGGGTATAGGAATTGTTGGTTACTTACGGTTTACATAAAGTTTTTATGTACCAAAACAGTCTCTGAATGGCTTAAGATTGTCTTGTATTTAGTTTATTGTTTATAAATGTCTTTAGTTGAAGTTTAGTATCTTGTGTCAGAATACACACATTGTGGTATGTTTCTTACCACTAATACTGTGTCATGTATACAAGGCCATATGTCATGACCCAGGATAGTCTATATGAATTTTGGAATCCATGTTTTACTTTTATTTATTTGAGAATATGATTGATTTCTGACAGTGCCACCCTAATGTATTACATATTTAGTAGACTAATGACATAGTACTTGTATCTTCCCTCTATGATAAGAATTTCATGTTTAAGGTATGAAATTTAGGCAATTAGGTGAAAGAATTCTCATTTGTGGTAAATCACTTTTAAATTGTAGATGAATAAAACATAATCAATTTAAAACAAATTTCGACATATAGTTTTAATATATTATGAAAATTCGATTTAGTTAACTTTTTTAATTTATTTTTTGTTTGGTAGAAAATATCTTTCACAATATTTCTTAAATGAACCTTGTATGAACCAATAACAGTAAACTTTTATTATAATTTTCAATGAAGAAAAAGACTTTTTTTTTTAATTTGCATGTCTTGAATTTGCATCTAATGAAGTGTAAAGGTCCTTGGGAAAATGTTTATGGTAATGAATAGCAGCTTAAGAATACTTACGGCTGTATGATGATTTCTGAAGAGGTGTAATAAGTTTTTGTTGACAAGATATTAAGATAGGATTATGTTTAATATAACTTATTTTGATGAGTTGGGGTTTATTTACGTATCTCTGGGTTACAGGTAATCTTCAGAAATCGGTGTAACGTTCGTTATGGATTTATATGAAAGGTGTTACAGGTTACTCTCTCACTCCGTTTAAATCTCTTTTTGATCGTAAAATGCACTGAATTGAAATCTCATTATATTATTTTATACTGTTCAAACATAGTGACGTAAAGTTTGACACAGTTTTGACAGGGGATAAAAACCGTTACACTTTCTGGTTATAATCAAGTATTCACCACTGTAATGTTAATTGATAAGCTTCTAATTGATTTAAATCATAGCATTGAAAGCATGAAGAGTTCATATTAAATGTAGTGACAGTATCACAATTTATTAAGTGTCTAATCTTGCTAGCCAATGAATTCTGAATAACAAACAAATGAATAATACACTATATATATATTTCAAAAAGAAAGAATATAGCCTTATAGGGTCACTATATATGAAGCACTCATTCTCATAAATAACTATTAAATAACATGTTCATCAAAAGAACAACACTTTTATTGCTGTCCTTCATCTTGACAGTTGTTGGAATGTTTTAAATGATGAATTACAAATCTGACATCTTACAAAAAGTTCAAGATAATGCTCCATAATATTCATTAGTTAGTAGTAAGGTATTTCATATGTACATGTAATCTGAGGAACATAAAGGGCAGTAATCAATGAATTTCATATGAAACTGGTAAAGTCTTCCAGAAGATATTATCATTCCTTGTCCATTAAAGGATTTACTTTTAATTATACCAAGAGTGCATACAGTTCAGGAAAATTAAAGAAATGAAGTCAAAAGTAAATTTTTTTAAAGGTGAAGGAGGTTTTGTTATGCTTATAACTGCGGGAAAGGATGGTCATGACAAGCTTTGATAAACTTAATCCAACTGTATGATCACCTCAGTCTGTGCCAAAAACTTTTACACCTACTGGTCCAAAACTCTATTTCTAGATTATAATCTTATATGGCTGACCATTACAGTTTTTAAATTTTCAGTATCTCTGACCACTTTTTACTAGTGATGGGCTATGGTATGGGCCAGTGGTTGAGTGATTGTTGTTTTCCTTATTACCAGTGGTGTTTTTCGCACAGACTGTTAGGTCAGAATAGGAGAGATGTAACCTGTCAAGTTCTGATAATACTTCACTGGACTCCATCAAGCATAGTGATGTTTATTCAGATGACATATTAAAGAAAATTCTTTTTACAGCATAAATTCAGAAATGCTGTAAAAAGATTCCAGATTACTGAATAAACACTGGAATCAACATTTTGCATTTAGGTGGTTTATATAAGATAAATGGATCAAGAATAAAATATGGAAATACATTAAATATCATTATATAAAGGAGTAGGTTTATAAAGGGTTTAAGTTGGTCCTAAGACTTTAAAATTTTTTTAATCTCGGCAAAGTACTTCAAATTTTACATAGAAATAGTTGTGATATAACTTAACATAAATTAATTCTTTTTGGTACATCACATAATAAATTAATTAGGTAGTTATGGCCCTTAATCATAATTCATATGTGTTTTTCTATAATTTATACAGTTTTTAGCATAGATAAGTTTAACTGCAACTATGATCCAGATAATTATTATATCTAGCGATTCGATACAAACCTTTGCACCTTTCGGTGTCAGAACATTTTGGATCTTAGATTGCAGCCTTAGTTTTCCTAAACCTATTAGGTCTGAATAATGCTCAAAATCATCATTTTTTGACAGCATCTCCAAATCCACTGACTTTTAAGCCTATAATGTACTCCCATGAAGATATTTCTTTTTACCAAGCATTAAGGCTTTTGAAAAAGATACATTTGAGGACCAAATTGTGGCCTTTTTGATATTTTTATTATGAAGTTGAAATTTAAGGTCATATTTTGGCTAAAGGGAACCTGGTTCTTCGGGATGTCTCCTTTTATCAGGTGACACCTTTCTCCCCCACATGAAGGAGACTTTGTAAATATAGTTTTGAACTTTTCTAAGTAGTTTATAGATTTCTGATTGTACACTAATGGACAGTTTTTTTTTTTTTGTAGACATGTGTACAATCAAGCAAATGGAAGGTGTTACATGAGATGACGAGGGACATAAGTTATCAGACTGACAGATTACAGATCCTAGCAGAACTAGCACAGTGTGCTGTAGATTGTAAGTCACAGATTAAACTTACTGTATTAATTAGACATATTACAGATCATAGCATAACTAGCACAGTGTGCTGTAGATTGTAAGTCACAGATTAAACTTACTGTAATAATTAGACATATTACAGATCCTAGCAGAGCTAGCACAGTGTGCTGTAGATTGTAAGTCACACTTTAAACTTACTGTAATAATTAGACAGATTACAGATCCTAGCAGAGCTAGCACAGTGTGCTGTAGATTGTTAGTCACACTTTAAACTTACTGTAATAATTAGACAGATTACAGATCCTAGCAGAGCTAGCACAGTGTGCTGTAGATTGTAAGTCACACATTAAACTTACTGTAATAATTAGACAGATTACAGATCCTAGCAGAGCTAGCACAGTGTGCTGTAGATTGTCAGTCACACTTTAAACTTACTGTAATAATAACACAGATTACAGATCCTAGCAGAGCTAATACAGTGTGCTGTAGATTGTAAGTCACACTTTAAACTTACTGTAATAATTAGACAGATAACAGATCCTAGCAGAGCTAGCACAGTGTGCTGTAGATTGTAAGTCACACCTTAAACCTACCGTAAAAAAATTGTCTAAGACCAACATATGTTGACCCTATGTTGACCTCTATAGATGTCTTTTGTATTTGTGTTGATTGTTGTCTCAACTATTCTATTGACACATCTCCTTTTTAGCCATCACTTGGCGTCCGTCGTCGTCGTCGTCCTTCCGGTGTAAACTATTTCAAACATCTTCTCCTCTGAAACCACTAAACCAATTCCTTAAAGAGTTATTGCCCTTTAAGGACTATTTTACACAATTTGTTTATTATGTTTTCTAACTTTAAAAAATCTTCTCCTCTGAAACCAATAAACCAATTCCAACCAAACTTAAGATGAATGATCCTAAGGGTATCTAGAATAAAGTTTATGTTTTATTTTCTGTTTCGTCAAAATGCAGTTTTTGGCTTATATATATAAAAACCAAAGGAGATAGAACAAATCTGACATGGGGTAAACATAAGGTGAAGTTCTATCAGCCTTGAAATTTTCAGATGAATCTAATAACCCATTGTTGGGTTGCTGCCACTAAATTGGTAATTTTAAGGAAATTTTGCAGTTTTTGGTTATTATCCTAAATAGTATTAATGATAAATATAAACTGTAAACAGCAAATATGTTCAGCAAAGTAAGATCTACAAATAAGTTTATATGACCAAAATTGACAATTGACCCCTTAAGGACTATTGCCCTTTGAGGACAATTTTACACAATTTGTTTATCATGTTTTCTAACTTTAAAAAATCTTCTCCTTTGAAACGGTTGAATCAATTTCAGCCAAACTTGGGCTGAATGAGTTTCAGAGTATCTAGTATAAATTTTGTATTTTTTTTTCTTGTACGTCAAGAAACATAGCCACTATGGGTAAAATGTATTTCTTTGCTTTTGGGGAAAATATGACAGATACAAAGAACATCTCAATGGAATTTTTAAGCCACTAATTAATATATACTAAAAAGCAGAAATAATCATTGATGAAAGATTTAAGCAAAAAATTACAGGTGAGCGATTCAGGCTCTTGAGAGCCTCTTGTATTTATATCGCCTGTAGTTGATCAGGCTTCTCACTGAAAATATAGAAAAGGGAGTTGTTAAAATATATACCTCAATGAGACAGCAACCAAACAACATAAACAAATACAAATGAAATGTCATTGATCATAGAAATAAGAAAAGAATTGATTTAACATAGAATAATGAGATGTGGTATGATTGCCAGTGAGACAAGTATCCACTAGAGATCAAAGGAGGAGGATTTTAACAACTGTTTCAACAATGTACAAAAACCTTACTGTATAGTAAAACACTGTTTTAAGTCAAGATTAAAGAACAAAATTCAAGATTACAAATTGTCAATCAGAATAGGAATGTAGAAAACACAAAACAGAATTCCTACTCTCAGGATTGTACCTTCTAGTTAGTTGAGATTGCTACAATGCTCAACAAAGGTAATAGCTTAAACCAGAGTTACTCAGTTTCAATGTCAAAGTTTAAGGTAAATTAAATGTTATAGAAAACAGCATGAAGCTAGAGTCTTTTATTCAGTTCCATAAAGCTAGAGTCTTATTCAGTTTCATGAAACTAGAGTCTTTGATGGAGAGTTGTCTCATTGGCACTCATACCACATCTTCTTATATCTATCTTATTCAGCTTCATCAGGATTAAAAACAGTAATTAAAATTTACATCCAATGACCATGTCACAAAATAGCACAATAGAAAGTGGCAATTTAATGGAGGGAGTAGTTGTATTTTATAGCCTTGTTGATTGATGCTTATTTCTATGTGTCCATGTAGCTAAAAGTTGCATTAAATTAATCAGATTTGAACCCCTTTTTCTTCCACATTGGTACAAATATCACAGCATTTTTACCAGGCTTTGTTGTGTATTATATACATAAATGATAGATATATGTATTATAGTGATTTTGTATTTCATTTCTCTTTATCTTGTTTGTTTTGATAAGGACACATCATCTATTTTTCAGCAACCAGTGCAGATGGGTTCAATTTATACCTGGCAGACAGTAATCAACAGGTAAAAAATTACCTGGTTCAAATTAATATCATTTTATGTTTGCTTTTGGGTGGAAAACATTTCATTGCCTTACATATGAGACTGAAAATAAATTGATTTTAAAGGAGATCAAGGAGCAACAAAAGCAAGTGAAATAGAAAAATTTCCATTTATATATCTTGTAATTCAAAAGCCATTATAGTTGGTGTATGAGAAATTGTCTGACATGTCGTCCATTGAGGTTGATAGCCTTTGTAAGCAGCTTATGATTAATGATTACATGTACCTGTGGGTCAGCTTAAGATTATTTTTACCTAAGAATAAAAATAATATTCGGGTAATTGCACTGTAATCCAATAAACCTATCTAAATAATGATGAAAAAAATACTTTTATATATAATTATACACTCCAGCAGAAGGAAGAGGATTTCTTTATCCTTACATATGAGTATTCAGTTTGGGTTACCAGGTTACCATGGTAATTATTTTGAAAACAAATGTTATAATCTGGATTTGTAAAACAAAATGGTAATTATCTGAAGAAGAAAAGGAATCGAATGTCTTCAGCCAGGAACAAAATGTTAATTCCAATATTTCCTGAACCCTTAAAGACATGACTTAAGAAAAAAAAAAAAAAAAAAAATTAAACAAAAATATGGCACAATATACTTGTAAAATTTATTATAAAACTAACAAAATTTATGATCAACAAAGCAGTAAAACACTCCTAACCCAAATCAAATAAGGCAAAAAAATACAAGGAAAAAATGCAAAACTATTTATATATAGCTAATTTTATTTCAGATATATTGAAATAGGAATGGCATTAATTGCTAAATTCATGCCCACCCAATTAACTTAAACTCACAAATTAGATTTATAACATACTGAAACATATACCTGAATTACCAAAAGTTCTATAGGAAACAATAAATAATGCATGGAATGGTAAAAAGTATCAAGATTTTGGGCTAATTAACAATCAACATGACCTCCAAGATTGATGAGAGATTAAAACAGATAAATATAGATATCATGTGCTATAGTATAAATTAAGACCATTTTTCTGTTGATTTCATATAAAAGAATAACGTACATTCTTGTTTTACATGTAACATGTAAGAATGATATTTTTTGGGGCAGAATCTGTCAATGAAATAGGAAATTGCCTTGTTTTTTCTAATTTCCCTTTTCGGCTGACATTTTTTTCAATAACTAACCATGCTGCACACATGTGCAACCATCTCTAACTCATAGGGGGAATATGGATCCAAATAAGATCGAATTATTGTCTTGCAAAACTTTTATGTATCATCAAAGTTTTGGGGTTTATTTTGACAAAATTGAACCAAACTGACTGCAAAAATGAGTAACAATATTCTGTTCTTGTAAATGGTCAAAACAAAATCATAACTTGATATAAACGAAGTTTTAAATACACACATATTTTCTTAAGAAGGATATTTTATTTTGTTAGATTTAATGTAACCTAATTTGTGTGTCATAGAAGATACATATTATTATGTAACTTTGCATGTTCACATAATAAAGACATTATTTACAGATGAATTATCAAGTATACTTGCCATAGGCAAATTAATTTACAGTATAAAGTTAACAAAATATTTAAACAGATTTAAATAACATTAAAACTGATACACTGTAAGCTAGACTCCAATCAAGTTTAACAGAAGTCTATAATCACATCACACTGTCATAGTATAGAAACTGATATAATTTACATAATCATATGAATCACACACACACTTTATTCATAACATTTTTTGGGGTATTTAGAAGTTACCCAGAGTCCAAGGTCAAGCCAATAAGTAATAGTCCGGCCGCGCACGCCGCCCATGTAATAATTATGCAAAACAAAATTGTGTGATGCATCTGACGCAAGGGGACAAATTGTTATTTTTGTCAGTCTTTTGTAATATGAATGTGTAATGATGGGTAATTCTACCAATATTTGCCATCAAGGAAATTCTGGTTAATTCTGGGAACACTGCAACTCCCATCAGTTGCAGCCTGAGTGGCTTTTGTCTAACACTGACTTCAACCTCAGTCTATAATCTATAATGCCAAACTTTAATACACCTGGTGCCTGATTGGTAACCCAAAACACACACTGATATAAACTATACACCTGGTGCCTGATTGGTAACCCAATACACACACTGATATAAACTATACACCTGGTGCCTGATTGGTAACCCAATACACACACTGATATAAACTATACACCTGGTGTCTGATTGGTAACCTAATACACACACTGATATAAACTATACACCTGGTGCCTGATTGGTAACCCAATACACACACTGATATAAACTATACACCTGGTGCCTGATTGGTAACCCAATACACACACTGATATAAACTATATACTTGGTGTCTGATTGGAAACCCAATACACACACTGATATAAACTATACACCTTGTGCCTGATTGGTAACCCAATACACACACTGATATAAACTATACACCTGGTGCCTGATTGGTAACCCAATAAACACACTGATCTATATAAATTATACACCTGGTGCCTGATTGGTAACCCAATACACACACTGATATAAACTATACACCTGGTGCCTGATTGGTAACCCAATACACACACTGATATAAACTATACACCTGGTGCCTTATTGGTAACCCAATACACACACTGATATAAACAATACACCTGGTGCCTTATTGGTAACCCCATACACATACTGATATAAGATTAAATTATGCAGCAATCAAATACAGTTTAACAACTCAGTGATTGTGTTAGTGCAAGACTCCTACTGAAGATCTAAATTTTTATTTCAGTACCTTATTTTATACTAGATGTTGTTTTGGATTACTGTTTCTTATGAAATACTATAAACATAAGCAAAAAAAATCTAATAGGACTATATATTGACTTGGAAGAGGATTAACAATAAGTCCAATCAGATCATTAACTAATCACAGTTATTGTCATTTCTTATGAAAAACATAATCCAAAGTCTTTATCCAAAACATGTAGCCTAACAAGATAACCATTGTAATATTCTAAAACAGTCAACCTTACATTATTTCTGGGGTCAATTTTATCAAACTGTCAAACATAAAAACAAAATAATAAATTCAACTGAAGTCAAATTCTGCTGGCTTATTTATTGTTGTCAAAAAATAGAAGGCTCTGTCTTGATAAAAAAAAATAGCTAATAACGTTGAATATAATGAAGTTGATAATTTGACAAGTTATTGTGCTAACAATGTAACACATGGCAGATCAATATTATTGGAGCATTATTAAGATAATTGTCTCTTTTTTTCACAGCTGTATCATCATAAAGTATCACCAATATCCTCTAGCAGGTTAGTAAACCTAGATATGTAACAGTATGTTCTGTGGCTTATAAGGTGACCAATAATCAGTACAATATACTACATACTTCCCCAGCTATTTATGGATTGTATGACAATCAAATTGTTCATCTTTCACTGAATGTGGACTAAAATAGTTATTACAGTTATAAAAGAGTTGTATCTTTAATGTATTTGTTATTTATATGAACAGTCACCTCACATCTATTCTAATCCATTTCCCTTAGATTGCAGAAAGTGATATTAACTCATGATAAAGAGTATTGAATTGCAGCAGACCAGAAAATTGCTTTTAAAAGTATTAGTTTTAAGTAGATCTTTTGTACTACAAAACACATATTTACCAAATTATTGATAATTTACAGTAATTCAGAACAAAACTAAGATAATTATACCTATACTTACAAATATAAAATAACAATTATCACAATTCTTGTCAACACCAATGAGGAATTGCTATAATTGCACTTCTCGTTTGAAAATAATATTTGTTGCACAGTGACAATTATGACTACGTGTTTAGATATTTCCTGCACAATGACAATGATGGCTATGTGTTTAGGTATTTCCTGTACAGGGACAGTGATGCCTAAGTGTTTAGGTATCAATTATGATTATGTGTTTAGGTATTTCCAGTACAGAGACAATAATGACTATGTATTTAGGTATTTCCTGCACAGGGACAATGATGGCTATGTGTTTAGGTATTTCCTGCAGTGACAAAAATGGCTATGTGTTTAGGTATTTCTGCACAGTGAGAATAAGGGTTATGTGTTTAGGTATTTCTGCACAGTGACAATAAGAAATATGTGGTTAGGTATTTCTGCACAGTGAGAATAAGGGTTATGTGTTTAGGTATTTCTGCACAGTGACAATAAGGGATATGTGCCTAGGTATTTCTGTACAGTGAGTATGAAGGCTATGTGTTCAGGTATTTCTGCACAGTGACAATAAGTGCTATGTGCCTAGGTATTTCTGTACAGTATCAGGGCTATGTGTTTAGGTATTTCTGCACAGTGAGAATTATGGTTATGTGTTTAGGTATTTCTGCACGTGACAATGAGGGTTTTGTGTAAAGGTATTTCTGCACAGTGACAATATGGGGTATGTGTTAAGGTATTTCTGCACAGTGACAATTAGGGTTATGTGCTTAGGTATTTCTGCACAGTGACAATTAGGGCTAGATATTTAGTGCAAGATGGTTTTTTGCATCGGTATTTAACATAATCTGTTTGAAAAACAAACTGTTTTCTAGATTTAAAAAGAGAGTTTAAAATGATAGGTGTGATTACTATTTTTTATTTTCTTACTAATTTAAGCCATTCTCATTTGATACATTATGTTTCTGTCTCATAGGGGAAGTCGTACAACAGACAGACCTTCTGAAGGATCTTATATTGGTAACATAGAAACTGGAACATCCTTACCATCTTATGTTGCCAAAACAAAAGATACAATCAGAACTAATCATGTTCAGGGGGTAAGTTCAGTTAAAATCAGAATTAATCATGTTCAGGGGGTAAGTTCAGTTACAGTCAGAATTAATCATGTTCAAGGGGTAAGTTCAGTTACAATCAGAACTAATCATGTTCAAGGGGTAAGTTCAGTTACAATCAGAATTAATCATGTTCAAGGGGTAAGTTCAGTTACAATCAGAACTAATCATGTTCAGGGGGTAAGTTCAGTTACAATCAGAATTAATCATGTTCAGGGGGTAAGTTCAGTTACAGTCAGAACTAATCATGTTCAGGGGGTAAGTTCAGTTACAATCAGAACTAATCATGTTCAGGGGGTAAGTTCAGTTACAATCAGAACTAATCATATTCAGGGGGTAAGTTTAGTTACAATCAGAACTAATCATGTTCAAGGGGTAAGTTCAGTTACAATCAGAACAAATCATGTTCAAGGGGTAAGTTCAGTTACAATCAGAACAAATCATGTTCAGGGGGTAAGTTCAGTTACAATACAATTATATACTGTGGATTCATTAATATTCGTTGGATACCAATTTTCATGGTTTTCGTGGATACAGGTGAACCACGAATTCAAATATTCAACGAAGTACAAATTTACCATCAGCTTGTATGCAGAATATGGCAAAACCACGAAATCCTATATCCACGAAAAGGCAAGTTTTCCGCAATCCACGAAAATTGGTACCCACGAAAATAAATGAGTCCACAGTATTCAAGGTCGAATTAAATTCATGAAAACACTCCTAGAACTTATCATGCTATTTTATATGTATGTAATATTGTACTATATATTATCAGGGATGATACTTGAATAAAAAAATATTGAACATTAGATTGCTATATTTCATCGAAGATAAAATAGAAATTAACCTTTTAAGGGCCTTAGATATTAAACCAATTAGAACCAATAGTGCTGTAACTTTAGCTAATGTACAATTGAAAATAATTAATTTCTGGTTATGTGATGTAGTTTTAATTGAAAATATGTAATGCTTCAGGAATTAATTGTGACTCAGAGCTAAGAATGGTATAGATGCAATAAAGTTTTGACTTTCAGAAAAAAAATATCAGATAAGGTGTTACATTTATTTTTTTTATAAGTAAATTAATTTTCTTTATCAGGACATGAGGTTTCCAGCAGGCCTAGGGATAAAGATGGAGCATGTTCAGACAGTTCTAGCCATTCCAATTTTACAGGAAGACTCAGGGGTATTAGGTAGGTTTTATTAAACCTCAATTGCTCCTAATAAAGGTGGGAGATACACAAGACACATGACAAAATATGAAGCAAAGGTTTACATGCACATCTTTTAGGAAACCTGGTTAAAAAGCTTACTAATGATCAAATGCAGTTACCTGCCTTTCCCAGTAAATATAAAAATAAGAAGATGTGGTATGATAGCCAATGAGTCAACTCTCTACCAGAAAACAAATGACATAGAACGTTAGCAACTATATGTCACGATATGGCCTTCAACAATGAGCAAAACCCATACTGCATGGCAAGCTTTAAAAGACCCTGAAATGATAAATGCAAAATATTCAAAAGTGAGAAAACTTGCGGCCTGATTGATTTACAAAGCAATAAACAAAAAACAAATATGATATACAGCAACAAATTAAGTTCCATTTGTCCCTTTGCTTCAGCCGTAATTTAATAATTGTATATTTTGTAGGTGTAATAGAACTTTACAGACAATTCAGTACAGACTCATTTACTCAGGAAGATGAAGAGGTAGGCATCAGTATAGACTTCTATAAGTTAAACTTATATTGACTGTTAAACAAAGGGGGATAATTGATAATTAACCATGTTATAAGGTCAAAAGAAAGATACATGTTATGTCTTCCCAAAAGATCCCAATTTTTAAAGACACTCTAATGATTTCTTAAAACATTTTTCACCAAGTCATTTGTTGTAACCTGCTAACTTATTTTATTAAAATACAGGACAGAATTGATTCCTTCATAAATCTGCTGTATTCAACTTGTTATACTGACCGTTAGACTTTATAAAACGTTTTTTCTGAACAATTTTTATTATTTTAGCATTCCTTAATTTCAACACTACGAATAAGTTAGGATCTCTTATTAGACTTGTATGTATCGCATGTTTCAATTTGGTCAAATAAGAAAAATAACCATTTTTAATTCCAAAATTGTGACCAAGGGAGATAACTCAAATTCAAATTAAGTCACATCAAAACCATCTATATATGATACTTCCAGGATTATGGCCCCCCCCCCCCCCCCAAAAAAAAACATGCAATGTTTGGTATATCGCAGTGACCTCCCATTGAAATGGTTTATATTTAGCTATAATATAGTGATGGTTGATAAAACCATGTTTTATAAATGGTATCTTAGTGACCACCAATGTACTTATTATATATTCATGAGGCTAAACACTTTGTTTAATTAGCTGTATCAGGGATCACCCATATTTAAGGAAATACAGATTATAATGTTTTAAGACATTGTCCATTTAAATTCAAGGTAGTTGTTACAACTTAAACATATCTAATAAGAAAACACGTATAAAGCCTAACAAATTATACCAGAATATAATGATAGAATAAAAGCTTTTTGACAAAAAGCTAAGTGAAAAATGAATTGATAAACATATTTGTTCAGAGATTTTATATAGACTTAAAACTTTTGACTCCCACAGTGTGAAGTTTTAAAAAGTATGAAAGGTGTAATAATGAATTTGATTCTATACAAGCTGCATATTGCATTAGTTTTGAATAAATATCATATCTATACTTACAATGAGTTAAGCATCAGGAGCAAACTTCGTTCTTTTTAACCAAATTTTTGCATATTCTTTCTAGATATTTGTTTGAGTAAAAAGGGGTTATAGAAAATGATATCATATGTAATAAAATCAGTTTTACATATGTAAAACAGAATTTAATCTGCAAATAAAGTATAAATAGTGATATATGAATGTTGTATTATGTATACAATGTAATTGAATGTTAAGTTCCGTTGCTTTACAAGGATATTATATCATAAAGGCTACAAGAATATTCTTTGATCTGTATAGCTAATGATCTGTAACACTTTTTAATTTGCATCTTCTCCAAAATAAATATTTTATGTCTATCAAATGTAATAGAATACGCTTTTATAAAGTTAGATAGACAGGCGTTTTTCAGTTATGACCTAACCTTGCTCATACTTTTGGTAAACTTTAGTGCACTGTTAGGAAACAGTGAAGGATGGTGAAAGCCTATCCCCACCCTATTTCTTGAATTTTCATATTTTGATACATAAAAATTTTTTAAAAAATTAAAAAAAAAATATTTACATATATAATTTCAAGATTTCAAGATAATTGATTACTTCAAAAAACTTGGTATTGTCATTGTCATGTAGAAGAAAGGAAAATTAAAGGTATCAACAGAATGAAATCATTAAAACAAAAATTTATTGGGTCATTGAGTTGCTGTCTTATTGAAATATACCCCCCCCCCCCACATCTCCTTTTTATTTTATATATATTTGGCAGATGTCTTATTGATATATACCCCCGCTTTAAAAAAGATGGGGTATACTGTTTCACCTCTGTCTATCCGTCAGTCCATCCCTAACAAATTGTGTCCACTCTATATCTAGAGAACCGTTATGATTTCTTAGTTTATACTTGACATGTATATTAACCAACACCAAAGGGTGTGTCATAATGTATGTACAGCTTCCTAGGTCAAAGGTCAAGGTCAAAAACTTTGGTTTTGGTTGACAACCCCATGTCCTATGGTAAAGATCGTGTCCGCTCTATATCTTGAAAACCGTTATGATTTCAAAATTTATACTTAACATGTATATAAACCAACACCAGAGGGTGTGTCATAATTTATGTACAACTTCCTAGGTCAAAGGTCAAGGTAAAAAACTTTGGTTTCAGTTGACAACCCCATGTCCAATGATAAAGATACAAATTTTTTACCACACATTATTCACAGCGGGGCCCACAGAGATGGCTACCATCTCAATGATATCTAGTATAAGTCAGCTATACTGTGTGATGCGTTTTCAGATTCATCACTCAACAACTTCCTATTTATCGAACACTTGTATCATTGTACACATGATAGCCAAGTTTAAAATTTTCGTCACATTTTTCTCAGCAACTACAATACAAGGATTAAACAGCATGAATTGATTGATGCAAACTCTTCTGACAGCATTTAAAACAGCAGATAAGTTGATAACAAATAATCATGGCCTGTAATAGTTCTGTGCAAATGAAACAATGTTTCAATTTAGGATGTATTTGATAAATTGTTGAAGAAAAAGAAACTTTTGGAAGCAAATCATAATCTGAAAAATATTGTTAATTTACTCAATTTGAAACATATTATTTAAAATTTCACTAGGAATGACCCATGCCAAAAGTTTTGAAAGCTAAAGATGCTTTAATACAGCAATAATATATATAAAATTGCCAGTCATTTCATCATTTTGAACAACTTTGACTCATAAGCTGAATAAAACATTATATTATATATATAAAAATGAGGAGATGTGATATGACTGCCAACGAGACAACTATCCACCAGAGCTAAAATGAAGTGGTAGTAAGCAATTATAGGCCACCGAATACCCATACTGTATAGTCTGCTATAAAAGGCCCAACATGAAAAAAGTGAAACAATTCAAACCAGAAAACAGCCTTTAATTTATAACAAAACAATTTGAGAAAAAAAACTTATATGACGGACATGAGCCAACAACAATATATATGTTTATAAAATAACGCAACTTTTAGTAAATTTTCTTGCAACATGTTTGGTGCAATTTGATTTAATTGGACTTAAAATTTTAAAAAGTCATACCTTGCCAATGAAACTCAAGTTTTTGGTGTTTTTGTAATGGCAGTTTGATTTCAATAGCTACCAGTTTTTTTATAATGTGATAAAAGTTCTATAATGAATTTCATTTAGAGTAAAATATACAAGGAAATGTGAGATTCAATTTTAATTTTTCAATTTTAACAGTGTTATGTTGTTATTGGTTAATAATGTATTAGACAATTATATTCAACCAATGGCATTACAGTATTTCATCATGGTGTACCAGCAATAAAATTACCCATCATCCTTTGCATTATGTCATTTAATAGTTGGTAAATAATATCTTTATTTTGTATAAAATGAGAATTGAATTAAATATTGTAATAGTGTAGTTTGTGTGCATGTCTCACTGTTGTGTGTTCTAGGTGACTGCTACATTGTTAGTCTGGGCTGATGTATGTGTGGATTATGTGCAGGTAAACCTATGTGTGCTGTTTATATAACCATATGTGTGCTGTGTATTCTACTTACTTAGATTAGAATAGTCAAATTGCATATTAATATTAATATTATTCATTTTTTCTTTTTTCTTTTTTTAAATTTACAGAAAAGCTTTCATAAAATTTAACCCTGTAGCTAATTAATTGATTTTTTCTGAAATTAAATAGTGGTACATGTAATGCATTTTGTAAAATAAATTGATCAATGAAAATATGGGAGGAGGGAATCCAATTGAAGATTGAAGAACATTTCAATTGATTTTTCCTTTATTCTTATTTGGTGAAGTTTTAATCATATTTATAAATTAAAAAAAATTTTAATATGCAATTTATATATTTATTAATAGTAATACAGCTATGTGTGATTTACTATACCCATGCAGCTGTAATGAATAAACATATATTATGAACATGATGTCATACCTTCCAAATTTTTATCAAATAGAATTTACTTAGTGATAATGAAGCCAAAATTCATATAAAATGTATGAAAAAATAGAGTTGAATTTTATGTCACAGAAAATAAGTTTTGATATCAAATGGTACAGAAAGTAAGATATATGAGATAATATCCACAGTTTGCATTAAACTTAAAACTCACTTTTCATTCTTTGTATGTATTGTTCATTACAACACAATAGTTTTAGGCATGATCTATATTCCTGAGAGTGATATATTTTAAATGCACTGATACATGTCTTGCTTTGCACTTTTCTAATTTTTGCATTTTGTGGTATTTATACAAGCACATATTCATGTTTTAAATTGCAGCAAACATGTTTTGACTAATGATTTCTGCTTTAGATTGCAGCTAACATGATTTTCTGGGGAAGCTTTGCTGTCTATTTTATAGAGGTAGTATATCATGTTGTTTGGCTGCATGAGTCTACCATGGAGTAACGTTATACCCTTTTCAATCTGCATAATTTTATGTTCATTGTCTTTTGCAACCAGCTTTTATCTGGAGCTTTTAGCCTTAATCCTAGTATTTGGGGGCTAATCTAGAAATAAATGTCAAATGGGTTGAAGGCACATTTTGTAGATTCACTTTTTTATGAAATTAAAATCAATATTTTGTCTCGCCTGGACAAAACTTCAGTGGTGTGTTGTTTCCATCTGCAGTGTCAACATTTAATGAGTTTGTGATTAGGTCAATTAATAGGGAACCATTAGTGGTAGGTCAATGATATTTGGTATGCAGTTGTAATAGCATTGACACATCTAATTTCTGTAGAGATTATTTGGCACTGCCCTCTCAGTTTTTGATTAGGTCAGTTTAAGGGGAACCAATTGTGGTAGGTCAATGATATGCAGTTGTTTTAGCACATGAAAAGAAAAAATGGGTGTTATGGTGCAAAATATTTTACCCTATATCGTAGGAAAAACACCAAGGAGTCCAAAAATCTGACAAAAATTCCTAAACCTGACCTAAGTACATCCTTAAAGGGAACCACTCATGATAAGTCAGTGGTATTTGGTATGCAGTTGTACATATGCATTTCTCATTTCCACTGAGGTAATTTGACCCTGCACCTTCAGTCATTGTTCATTGACTTTTGAATGTTCTGGATAGTTTACATGTTAAAGTTAAGGCCATTTTAATTTCAACATTGGCATGATTCTATCAACCTTACATGATGGCGAGACATATCTCTGTGTCAACAGTTTATTTTAAGATGGATGTTATTTAGTCTTTTAATATATCAAACCAAAAATACACCCATCACCTATAATACATTAACCAAAGTGCCTTCTAACCCCCTTGTCTTTTTATTTCTAGAATAAGCAAGCTGTAATGTTATATCATTTCAATAATTTGAAATTTATTTGTTTTCCAAATTGCACTTATACAACCCTTAGGAAATTGTATTTTTTCATTTCTATGTAAATAGTACTGGTTAAGGTTTTTTGACATATTTGAACTTTCATTGAAAAAAAATATAAATAAAATTATTTTTTTCACCTTCCAACATGTCCGATGATCATTTAGTGTATGGCAAACAAAAAATACTGTACAGTCTGGCCTTACAAACTTTCAATGTTGGTCTTTGAGCAATTTCAACCTACAGATTTGTGGATAATTATGTATTTGTGTAAAAGTGTTTTGATTTTTTGATTTAAAAGATGCATAAAGTGATTCATTTCTTGTAGAAGAAATTCAATAAATACATTATGGTTAACCATTGCTTTCCTTTAGTAAAAAGAAGCCAACTGGATAAAATATAAGATGACTAAGTGTTTGAATTATGTAAGGAAATTATCTTGATGCTTATACTGGTGAATTAGTTTTTCTCATTAAGGATCATGTAAAGTTTTATATTATGTATTATTGCAGATGTATAATAGTATGATGAGACAGAGAAAATTAAATGATTTCTTGTTAGCAGTTACAAAGTAAGTCCAATATAGGAGTAGGTTCGATAAGGCCTTAAAAAGGCCCCTGTTTTTACCTTATATTTCAAATTGGGATTTATTGACTAATATTACAATGAATTATAGCTAATAAAGTGACTGGATAGTAAATATGTCTTTTTGTTGAAACTTTACGTACATGTTTCACATATAGCACTCATTTTGATTTTCCACAAAAGTCAATGAAAACAGGTAAATTTCCATTGATTTTTGGACAGGAAACATAGAACACATATGTCGACAAATAAGATCTTTTAAAATAATGTTTGTTATAACATTTTACATGTCTAACTTGAATATTTAGTTTGTCAATGCCTGCACTCTATGTTTCCTAGGCTTAAATTTGGTTCAAAACCAGCCGATTTTGTCAAATTTTTTGCAAAAACTATTTTTGACATTTTTGGGATGTAAAAATCAACACTTTAAGATAAAACTTTGACAAAAATAGTTATATTTAACTTTCTCACATGTCTTTTAATCAACTTAAAACATTTTTATCTTGAAACATTGAACTTAATAATTGGGACCAATTATGGCCCTTACCAAACTTACTCCTTTTAGTTGTTTTAGCCATTCAGCTTTGGACATTTTTAATTTCACACTGGAGTAGTTGTTGCTAACCATTTCCAGTGGATGGTATTTATTCACCAAATTTTTTTGGAAGGTTTGCCTAATTTATATACTTGAATAAATTAAGCATCTGTTTTTAAGATAATATGGTACATTTAACAATACATGGTAACCAAAAGTTTAAAATTACACCTATTTAAAATTTTCCAGTTGCTGTACAATCTTCAATGAGTATTAACTAATAGATTCATAGGCTCGTTGAATAAACAGAAATATTAAGATTTTCACGTAGTTCTTTTGATTAAATCTTTAACATATTAGACATAAATTACAACAGTACACAAAAATCCAGATACTAAAGAGATATTCAAACTCTTAAGTCGAAAACAAACCGACAATGCTGTGGCAAAATACAAAAACAATGGAAAAAAATCAATTGTTCCACAAAAACAGAGCACAAAAAACAAAAGACTTAGCAACACAAACCCCACCTTAAACCAGGGCTGATCTCAGTTGCTCTGGAAGCGTTAGCAGATCCTGCTCCACATGTAAAATCTGTCATATTGCTATTTAAAATATGTTAATTAGTTATATCAAGTGATCAGGCATCACACAATAGCTGTAAGCTGTAAGATATATATGGTTTATATTTTTTAATGTTTTATAGATCAATATTTCAAGACATAGTTAGCATGGATACAGTTATTATGAAAATTATGGTAAGTTGCAAAGTATATTCTTTAAATATTTGACATGAAAATTTGTCCTATATTCACAATAGTCCAGACCTTTTTAATTGATCAATTTGTGTTGCATGTACTCTTTGTAGTAATAAAAGGTTAATTCAAGCAATTCAATTTTATAAAGACTGGGCTTTGATTGAACATTTTAGAAAAATGATGGTTAGGATTTTCAGGCATGGCCAAATTGCGACTAAGTTTAAAAAAGATAAATCCTCTATATGATGTCAATATGTTATTGACCTCTTAAAAAAGGCCAGATTTGTTATATTTATAGTCTTAACAGCCATGCTGTATGTCTTTGCATATGTTATTTTAAATCTAATTTTAGTAATGCTAAATATTTTTGTACAATTTGCTGTTTTACAGTGTAATCTTTGCTTACATAAACTATCTTCTGAGTATCCCAGCACTACAATTCATATTGAGAAACATTTTAGATATTGGAAATGCATTTACATTGTCATTCAGGGATTGTTTTATTTTCAGAATTATGCCAAAAAACTTGTAAATGCTGACAGAGCATCATTATTTCTTCTTGACACAAAAACTACTGAATTATATGCTCGAATATTTGATACGGGTAAAGAACATGTACCACAGAAAGAAATAAGGTAAGGAATTTAATATTGTTATAGTCTTCTGAATCACATGGGGATTTTGTTTGTTTATCTCTTCACACTTACTATATACAAGTATAAACCAGGACATGATTCCTACAAGTATAAACCAGGACAGGATTCCTACAAGTATAAACCAGGACAGGATTCCTACAAGTATAAACCAGGGACAGGATTCCTACAAGTATAAAAAAGAGACAGGATTTCTACAAGTATAAACCAGGACCGGATTTCTAAAAAGTCAGGATTTCTACAAGTATAAACCAGGACAGGATTTCTACAAGTATAAACCAGGACCGGATTTCTAAAAAGTCAGGATTTCTACAAGTATAAAAAAGAGACAGGATTTCTACAAGTATAAAAAAGAGACATAATTTCTACAAGTATAAACCGGGGACAGGATTCGTACAAGTATAAAATAGGACAGGATTTCTACAAGTATAAAAAAGAGACAGGATTTCTACAAGTATAAAGAAGAGACAGGATTTCTACAAGTATAAAAAAGAGACAGGATTTCTACAATTATAACCCAGAGACAGGATTTCATTGAAATTTCAGAAATCTTCAGTGCATTTTCAATGGATGAACCATAATTTTGTTGGGGGTTTTCCATTGCAAAATATGGACTTAAGTTCAAATAGGAGGGAGCTTGGGTATAAACTTGCGATTCTCTCCTCACAGCTAGTGTATACAACTTGTGCAGTTTAGGAATATAAAGTAATGAATCCTACATCTCCCCCTCATTCAAATGAAATATTATTCTAAATATTTTACATCAAACAAGTATATGCATATAAGAATTACAGATTTGTTTATGACTAAGATTGTACATAGTCTTCTAGATGATCTTCATTACAAATACATTTGTATGCCCTTTTGTTGCATATAAGTGTAAAAACTCAATTTTCCTGCCTGTATTGGACATTGTGTTGCATATGCTATAGCCTGGAATTTCATTTTGTTTTTGAGTCTGACGCATATTTTTAACAACGAAGCTTTCCCTTTAATAGATATCTGTTTATGTTTAAGATTTCCTATGGACAAGGGTGTAGCTGGTCATGTTGCCTCCACAGGGCAGGTGCTAAATATAACTGATGCCTATAATGATGGAAGGTTCAACAGGTAAGTCATGTGACCTCCACAGGGCAGGGGCTAAATATTACTGATGCATATAATAATGGTAGGTTCAACAGGTTAGTCAAAAGACCTCCATAGGGCAGGTGCTAAATATTACTGACTCCTAGTAAACTGTAAGGATAACATGAATTATCAAAAATATTTGACAGCACACCACATCAAGCCACCACTTGTATTGCTTTATGAAAAATATGTCGTCAATGTAATCACTGTTAATTCGGAAATTTTTGCAATGTTTAAATTATTGTGAAAATTGCGACAGATTAGGTTTTACAAAAATAAAAACTCACATTTAAAATTTAGGTAGCATTAATTGTATGCAGCATTATCTGATATATACTTTTACTTTCTTAATACAAATATTTACCTGTTGATTAGTTCAGAAATTAGAATAGATTTATTTTAGTTTTACATATTTTGCCATTCTGCCATTCATTCATCTCAAACCAGGTCTTCAACGATGGGCACAGCTTTCAACAATATTCTGCTTGTGCCTTCATCCTTGATATTCTTTGATAAACACTAATATATTTATTATGATTACAGGGAAGTTGATATGCAGACAGGGTACAGAACAAAGTCTATATTATGTATGCCTATTTATATAAGAGGAAGGTTAGTCAATAATTTGTTTAATATTCTTGTCTTTATTTACATAGAAAATTAAGTAAACACAAAAAAAAATGTTTAATGAGACAATTATCCACCACAGTTCATATGACAGGGATGTAACCAGCTATAGGGCTCTGTTCAGCATTCAACAATGAGCATAACCCATACTGTATAGTCAGCTTAAAAATCCCCTGACCAACAGCCTCATTTATGACAAAACAATTAAATAAAAAATGACAGACAGCAACCAACGACAGTGCTGTAAAAGCTCAAAATAAGAACATGCTGTAAAAATCAGTTTGAAATGGCTAAACTCAACAGATTGGCACAAAGCACAAAAAATAACTAACAAAAACACAAAAGACACAAAGTACCGATCTAAGAGTACTTGCAGTTACTGAAATACAGTTCAAAGCCAATTACAACTAATAAATAAATCTCACTGTGTGTCCATGGTCTTTAGAAATTACTTTTTGTGAAATGTTTTTGTTCTTGCAACAAACAGGAGCAAACTTTACCCTTACCTTCAATTTTCAACAAGTCTAATTAAAGTTACCACTTTCATAGAATATGAATTTCTGCAATGATTTTTACTTTCTCAATTCAAGTTGATACAATGTCATTGACAACTTATTGACAATGTCTATTGCTGTATGACGTCAGATGAATGAAATTATCAAATTTATTTCACATAAGATATTATCTGTTTTTATTGTTTTCATCGTTTAAGGAATTAATAATTAAATACCTAATTCAAGAAATTAAATAGACAAATATTCATTTAATGACTGCTGTTATTGAGATAATTTCTTCTATTTCAGTATAATTGGTGTTGTACAGATGGTCAATAAAAAAGAAGGAACGTTTACAATGGCTGATGAAGAATCATTTGAAACATTTGCTATATATTGTGGACTTGCCTTACATCATGCTAAGGTATGATAACAACAGAGACAAACATTAAAATAATTTCTAACGGATTGTTTTTTAAATATGATTGTTAATTTAATCATTTTCAACATTTTAGAGTCTGCATCAAATATTTCAATTGGTAGATAGTATGTCAAAACCAAATTTTAATTAGACCAAACCAGATACTGTGGATTCATTTATTTTCGTGGGTACTAAATTTTGTGGATCGAGGAAAACTTGCATTTTCGTGGCTATTTGATTTCGTGGTTTTTGCCAAAGTCTGCATAAATTTCTGTACAAAATTTGTAATTCGTTGGATATTGGAATTCGTGGTTCCCAGGTAACCAGGAAATCCACGAAAATTGGTATCCAACGAATATTAGTGAATCCACAGTATTGAATATTAACCTTTTGAGATTTAACCTTTTGCTTACAGTTGTATGACAAGATAAGAAGATCAGAGCAGAAGTATAAAGTGGCATTAGAAGTATTGTCTTATCATGCTCAGTGTACAGACGATGAATACAAAATAATCAAATCTACGCCGTTTCCAGAAAATATACCAGGAATTATTGAGTATGTATTTAACTGCAATTATATCTAAATGAAAAATTACTATTTATTAGGATTTAGTATTATATACTACGCCGCGTAATCTAAGATTATTTAAGAAATCTAAATTTATATAATGGGTGTGCTAAACCATTCCACTTTCACAGTACCAATGGGCCAACATTCTTTTTGTAATTAATGTTCAAATTGATCAATTGGTGACAAATTTTAGCTAAGTGCTTGATTTTTTGTGATTAAATTAACATTCATGTTAACAGTTAGATATAGATACATAAGAATTGTAATACATCTGTCCCTTTGGTTTTAAAGAAGTTTATAATGGTTACTTTACAGTTATGAGTTTTCTCCATGGGATGTAGAAGACAACAGAAAATGTTTGTATGTGTTATATATGATGAAGGATATCTTTAGTATGGCCACCAAGTAAGTATATAAACTGTTTTATATTCATTGTGTCATAAGTATTTAATTGGCCATCTTCCTTAGCAAGGGGAGACAATTCCATTTTGGTTATTTGAGCTGAAGAGTATTATCTTCCCTTGATAATTGATTTATGTTTTTCTATTCCTACATTTTGTCAGGTCTGTAACAGATTTATTTGTATAAGGAAACCAGATAAGTTGTATGATTCATCTTGCTTACAAATAGATTTAGATATTTTTACATCATTATTTGTGAAGGTTAGAAGCTTTATGGTCTAGATAGCTATCAAGGACCAACATCTTATTGCTATTGGAGCTAATCTAAAATGGTGTTTAGAAACAATGATTTAGTGTTTAATTTGCCTCTATTTTATAGCATTTGACTTTATATGCTTTTACATACCATTTCAATCATGAATTCCATATGTGCATTGAATCTGAACCTGACCACAATTATCATTGAATCTGAACCTATCCACAATTATCATTGAATATTTTCAGCAATATAAAAGGGTGAGATTTTAGTTCTGAGTGTTTTTGATTCTCTGTCACTGATTGCTAACAGATGAGATAAACTTTTTCTCAAAAAATTCCTGTAGAAAAAAAAAATTATTATGCCAAACAAAGAAATGTTGTGTTTCCAGTTAAGAACCTTTAATGGGTATGATTGGTTGGTATGATTTCTTTCCAAACTTTTTATTTGAACTAACAACATCAATATGTACATATGAAATGTAATCAACGTGTGGGGAATCAAAATTGTTTTTCTGTTGTGGAGAATTTCTGTCTGTAAATCAATTTAAATACACATGAAAGGCTGGATTCAATCAGCCTTTAATGTCAGAAGTTGTAAAATGCAAACGGATCCAGCTTTGGGAAGGGATTTCAACAGACCTTACATTCTTTTTTTATGATCAGCTTGAAAATGACTGATTTGGAGAAAAGAAAGGATTGAACTATTTACTGTTAACACAACATTTTTTCTTTTGGCTTATATATGATACTATTTTGAGGATATATGGTCCTGTTTGAAATTATAGCTTTGGTTCTATCAAACATGCTTTTTCGCTTTATAGATTTCCCCAGCCTTAGCATAGCCATCACAAAAAGTTAAGCAAAGTTTTTTTATTAGGATAGAAGTTCACAGTTTTTTTGTTGTTTTTTTCATCTTTGGGAATTTTTCCATTAAAAAATGAGAATGCCAAATTGATTTAAAAATATTGTATTAGTAGATTTTACAAATTGAAGATAATTTGTAAAGATGCATAGTGCTATAAGATCATTTATCTTTTGTGTTTTGCAGAAAGAATGAAAATGAGAAAAGGTATATCCATTTTAAATCTCACTGTTTAGAGGAGTAGATTGTTTGCAGTGGATCACTCACTAATTCCATTTCTCATTTTCTATCTTCACAATTTTACAGCTTTTTAATTTATCTGCAAAAAAAGTTGCAATTGTATAATAGTACAGGTATGTTGTCATGTGTCGCCTGCACTTTAGAGTCAGCATGTAGGAATTGTTATCCATTGTATTGCTATTTGTGTCTGTTGTTGTAAATAAACAACACTCAAGAAGGTGGGGCTGTATTGCATTCACCTTGTCAGTACATCTGTCCGTTTGTTAGTCACACTGTTTGTCTATCCGTTTGTCCAACAAATATTTGCGTAACTCTTTTCTTAAGTTCTACTGAAAATTATTTAATATGTGGCCAGAAGATTAACAGCAATGAGTTGTAAGGTGTGATCACTTGTAGAATCTGTCAGACATCTACTTCCTGTTTACTGATAATTTGAATTTTTCAACATATTGAATGAAATTAAAAATTATGTCACATTTTTCTCAAGTACAACTAAACAGAATTACTTCACATTTTGTCAGCAGCAGCTTGTCAGTAATGAGTTATGAAGTGTGAGCACTTTATGATTTGTCAGTGATGAGTTTTGAAGTGTGTACACTGTATGGTGTGTCAGTGATGATTTGTGAAGTGTGAACGCATTATGATTTGTCAGTGATGAGTTGTGAAGTGTGTACACTGTATGGTGTGTCAGTGATGATTTGTGAAGTGTGAACGCATTATGGTTTGTCAGTGATGAGTTGTGAAGTGTGTACACTGTATGGTTGTCAGTGATGAGTTGTGAAGTGTGAGCACTTTATGGTTTGTCAGTGATGAGTTGTGAAGTGTGAGTACTTTATGGTTTGTCAGTGATGAGTTGTGAAGTGTGTACACTGTATGGTATGTCAGTGATGAGTTGTGAAGTGTGAGTACTTTATGGTTTGTCAGTGTTGAGTTGTGAAGTTTGAGTACTTTATGGTTTGTCAGTGATGAGTTGTGAAGTGTGTACACTGTATGGTTGTCAGTGATGAGTTGTGAAATGTGAACACTGTATGGTGTGTCAGTGATGAGTTGTGAAGTGTGTACACTGTATGGTTGTCAGTGATGAGTTGTGAAGTGTGTACACTGTATGGTTTGTCAGTGATGAGTTATGAAGTGTGAGTACTTTATGGTATGTCAGTGATGAGTTGTGCAGTGTGTACACTGTATGGTGTGTCAGTGATGAGTTGTGAAGTGTGAGTACTTTATGGTTTGTCAGTGATGAGTTGTGAAGTGTGTACACTGTATGGTTGTCAGTGATGAGTTGTGAAATGTGAACACTGTATGGTGTGTCAGTGATGAGTTGTGAAGTGTGTACACTGTATGGTTGTCAGTGATGAGTTGTGAAGTGTGTACACTGTATGGTTTGTCAGTGATGAGTTGTGAAGTGTGTACACTATGGTTGTCAGTGATGAGTTGTGAAGTGTGTACACTGTATGGTTGTCAGTGATGAGTTGTGAAGTGTGTACACTGTATGGTGTGTCAGTGATGAGTTGTGAAGTGTGTACACTGTATGGTGTGTCAGTGATGAGTTGTGAAGTGTGAGTACTTTATGGTTTGTCAGTGTTGAGTTGTGAAGTTTGAGTACTTTATGGTTTGTCAGTGATAAATTGTGAAGTGTGAGAACTTTATGGTTTGTCAGTGATGAGTTGTGAAGTGTAAGTACTTTACGGTTTGTCAGTGATGAGTTGTGAAGTGTGAGCACTTTATGGTGTGTCAGTGGTGAGTTGTGAAGTGTGAGTACTTTACGGTTTGTCAGTGATGAGTTGTGAAGTGTGAGAACTTTATGGTTTGTCAGTGTTGAGTTGTGAAGTTTGAGTACTTTATGGTTTGTCAGTGATGAGTTGTGAAGTGTGAGTACTTTACGGTTTGTCAGTGATGAGTTGTGAAGTGTGAGTACTTTATGGTGTGTCAGTGATGAGTTGTGAAGTGTGAGTGCTTTATGCTTGTCAGTGATGAGTTGTGAAGTGTGTACACTGTATGGTGTGTCAGTGATGAGTTGTGAAGTGTGTACACTGTATGGTGTGTCAGTGATGAGTTGTGAAGTGTGTACACTGTATGGTTTGTCAGTAATGAGTTGTGAAGTGTGAGTACTTTTTGGTGTGTCAGTGATGAGTTGTGAAGTGTGTACACTGTATGGTTGTCAGTGATGAGTTGTGAAGTGTGTACACTGTATGGTGTGCCAGTGATGAGTTGTGAAGTGTGTACACTGTATGGTGTGTCAGTGATGAGTTGTGAAGTGTGAGTACTTTATGGTGTGTCAGTGATGAGCAGTGAAGTGTGAGTACTTTATGGCTTGTCAGTGATGAGTTGTGAAGTGTGAGTACTTTATGGCTTGTTAGTGATGAGTTGTGAAGTGTGAGTACTTTATGGTGTGTCAGTGATGAGTTGTGAAGTATGAGTACTTTATGGCTTGTCAGTGATGAGTTGTGAAGTGTGTACACTGTATGGTGTGTCAGTGATGAGTTGTGAAGTGTGTACACTGTATGGTGTGTCAGTGATGAGTTGTGAAGTGTGAGTACTTTATGGTGTGTCAGTGATAAGTTGTGAAGTGTGAAAACTTAATGGCTTGTCAGTGATGAGTTGTGAAGTGTGAGTACTTTATGGTTTGTCAGTGATGAGTTGTGAAGTGTGAGTACTTTATGGTATGTCAGTGATGAGTTGTGAAGTGTGTACACTGTATGGTGTGTCAGTGATGAGTTGTGAAGTGTGAGTACTTTATGGTTTGTCAGTGATGAGTTGTGAAGTGTGTACACTGTATGGTTTGTCAGTGATGAGTCTCGTCAAACAATTACTGTGCAAAATTTGTTACATAAAGTTAAGTATCTATTCCCATTTATGGTGACAATTTTCTAGAGTTTTTCACAGCCAAACCAGAATTTCCTCATAAATATCTTGATTTTTAGAAAAACTTAAAAAAGAGGCATATGATTCCTTTAACCTGCAGGCGACACAACTTCCTTGGAAGACACATCTATGTCTTAATATTATTTGTTCATATAGATTAGATTTCAAATAACTCATCAAGATTTTTGAATATGTTATAAATAATGAAAATGTACTCATGACGCAATGCCATTCTTTCAAGAAGTTAATAGTTACAAGGTTGGAAAATTCTCAATATTCAATTTTTTTTTAATTATTCAAATAATATGTGGTTATTTTCATTGTTCAGTTCTGAATTAAAGATCTTCATATACATCTATAGGTAAAAAATAATGGAAAGAGTGAATTATGTATATATATAGAAAACTACATATAATGTGCTACTGTTTATGAACCAGTTATCTTGTGCTAATTAAATTTATTCTATGTGCAGTTTGTAAGACTTTTTCATTCATTATGTGAAAAATACAATAAAGACCCAAGTATTTTAATCTTAACATATCAAAAGAATTATCAAATGTTGTTTTTATACGCCCATCATTGTTTTTATACACCCAGGGAAGACAGGATGTATTATGGCATACCAATGTCCATCCATCCCTTAACACTTTGTATGATAACTCAGTTTCGTTTTTACCAATTCTCATATAACTTTACAACATTAGAATTGACAAAAGAAGCTCCATTTAGAGTCATGCAGAATTACAGAACTTTAACTTAAGGATGTATTCTTCTGACGTTTCAGTCTCGTTGAAATCTCGTTCTGGAATTATTTCCAAAACATGTGATACAAGTGGAAAATATCAATGAATTTAAAAAATATTATAATCAAACTTAACTCTGTGAAAAATTTGTGCATTTACAATAAGTAGTTTTTGAGTAATAAAAATTTCAAATTTTATAACCAATCAAGTCTGTCTCATTAGCCAAAATGTTGAGAAAATGGGTGAGGGGTACAAGAAATGATTTTACCAGATACATGTACATCCTATATCAATTTTTTCTTTTCAAATTTCTTCGATATGTATTTTTTCAATCATTTATAACAAAGAAGTTGAAATAATATGCTTTTTTGTTCTAAAAAAAAGAGAAAAATCCCAAATTTCCAAATTTGACAGCATGGCAAATTTGACACGAAAAAGCAACAAAATTTTATAAAACTTTCTTATATTAACACCTACCTATAGTTTTTTTAAGTTTAATTTATTCAGATTGGTCCACTTCATCTTTAGTGAAAGTATGAAAAAAAGTTTGATTGTGAAACTGTGATTTTATTTCATGATAATATCCCAAAATTGATGAAAAATGGGAAAATCATCATAATTGGGTACTTTCAAATGGCCGTAGCAAAAAAAGAAGTGCACCACCATATGATTTTTTCTTCACCAATTATTTTTTTACAGTCATATAAACCTAAAAATCAGGTTAAGAAAAAAAGTTTAATTCTAGAAATTTTTGGCTCCTCAGAGGTGTACATCATTAAGGCAATTTTTCACAAATTGCACACTAATTTTAGTAATCCTAGACTGATTTCCTCCAAACTTTACATTATTGTGGGGATTGATGAAAGGAAGCTCCCTTTTGATGTTTTTAATTTTCTTTGTTGTTACTGAGAGTTATGGGATTTTAATTGTCAGATTTTAGTAAATTTTTCACAAATTGTACCAGAACTTATTAAGATTGATTTAGTGGAAAAGTTACATCATTGTTGGAATTGGTGAACATAACAATCTGTTCTATTTAAAAATAGGGCATCCTCAGGTAAGCTTCGTTACAGAGCCTTTTTATTTGCATATAATTAAATGCCTTCGAAATATCCCATTTTATTCTTGCAACAATTTCAATATACACAACAAGAGGCATAAAATGGGTTCTTGGCTCAGCTGTTTATTTTAAGCTAGTAACAGCTATTCAAGTTTTATGTCCACAGCGTAGGCAATAGGGTCATGAATTGTTACCCTTGTCCGTCCTTCTGTGGTCTGTCCTTCCTTCTGTCCCATTTTCGTTTCCACACTTTAACTTAAGTTTTCTTCATTCAAATTGTATGAAACTCATACACAATGCTAAGAACCACAATACGCAGACAGAGTTCAAAATTTGGTCAGTGAGTCACATACCTTTCTAGAGATATGCCCCTTTTTAACTTGAAAAATTGCAAAGCTTGAGCAGGGGGCATTTGTGTCCTCAGACACATTCTTCTTTTATTAATCATAAGCTTATTAAAAGCAAACTCATATAACAGGCAGCTAGTGTGTCCATTGAAAATGGTTTAGATGGTTAGCATGCCCTTTGAAAATGTTACAGAGAAAAAACTTACTTATTGGGAGCCACTTAAATGTTAGACAAATAGCATGCCCAATTGAATTGAACTTATTTTACAGCTTGTCAATTGAAAATGTTGCAGAAAGTTAGCTTGCCAATTGAAAAGGTTGAAAACATTTCCTTATATATTAATTTTACTCTATTTCAGCACTTAAATAATTAATTATAAATATAAAAACTGAAATTAATGTAGAGTAGTTTATAAATTCATAAAAATTTCATTTTACCAAAATATGAATAAAAAAGATCGTTAAACATCAGTGTGCCAGTTACCCAACAAGTTTACACAGATATCTAGAGAATACCATAAAGACCTGTAATGATGGTTGTAAGATAAATTTCTGAACTTTTCTTTCCTTTCTATATATTCAGTGCTAATATCTTCGTATTATATATCTATATATAGATTCTCCCACATCACCTTATTGATTATGTTAATCATCCACTAAATATCGTTAAACTTTCAAACAGTAAAATTAGAGATTTACAGTGGGAAATTATATGAAACAATAGTTAACATGTTTTTTTTTAAATAATGTGTGAACATGTATATATAGTATTAGAAGTAGGATAATTCTTTCACAATTTAACAAACTGCAAAGGAAGTAGTATACATTTATTTGTACAATATTGACCAAGGCAAAGAAGGTTAAAATTGGAATTAGCTTCCTGCTATAGTGGCAATATTTATGCCCTTTGTGAATTAACTGAATATCCTATGAAATAGGGTTATATTAAATACTGAAATATCCTCACGGTTATGGCATGAAATTAAAACGTTGATGCAGACAGGGGATTTAAAGACTAATTTGAGATTGTGTGGCTCATGCTTATTATAAGTATAACTCTAGTTTTGTCAAAATTCTGGATCAAAACATCTGACACTTAAAAAAGCCTCACATGGGTTTTAGGTAGATCACATGCAAGGATAAACCTTTCTCTAAGTGTGCTTTTCAATAGATTATTGACAATTAACTTCCAATGCCACATTATAATTAAATGTTAAGTCATGTTGTTGTTAACTATTAGGTCATATTGTTAACCTTCAATGCCACATTATAGTTGACTGTCTGGTCATATTATAACCCTCAAATGTATCATTATAGTGGACTGTTTAGTGATGTTGTTATTCTCCAACGCCTCATTATAGTGGACTGTTTGTTCATATTGTTACCCTCCATTGTATCATTATAGTTGACTGTTAAGTCATGTTGTTATTCTCCAACGTCTCATTATAGTTAACTGTTGGTCATATTATTACCCTCTAATGCCACATTATATAGGACTGTTTGTTCATATTGTTACCCTCCAATGCCACATTAAAGTGGAATGTTTGGTCATGTTGTTACCCTCCAATGCCACATTATAGTGGAATGTTTGGTCATATTGTTACCATCCAATGCCATATTATAGTGGAATGTTTGGTCATGTTGTTACCCTCCAATGCCACATTATAGTGGAATGTTTGGTCACATTGTTACCCTCCAATGCCACATTATAGTGGAATGTTTGGTCATATTGTAACCCTCCAATGCCACATTATAGTGGAATGTTTGGTCATGTTGTTACCCTCCAATGCCACATTATAGTTAACTGTTTGGTCATATTGTTACCCTCCAATGCCACATTAAAGTTGAATGTTTGGTCATATTGTGACCCTCCAATGCCACATCATAGTGGAATTTTTGGTCATATTGTTACCCTCCAATGCCACATTAAAGTTGAATGTTTGGTCATATTGTTACCCTCCAATGCCACATCATAGTGGAATGTTTGGTCATATTGTTACCCTCCAATGCCACATTATAGTTAACTGTTTGGTCATGTTGTTTCCCTCAAATGTCACATTATAGTTAACTGTTTGGTCATATTGTTACCCTCCAATGCCACTTTATAGTTAACTGTTTGGTCATATTTTTACCCTCCAATGCCACATTATAGTGGAATGTTTGGTCATACTGTTACCCTCCAATGCCACATTATAGTTAACTGTTTGGTCATGTTGTTACCCTCAAATGTCACATTATAGTTAACTGTTTGGTCATGTTGTTACCCCCCAATGCCACATTATAGTTAACTGTTTGGTCAAATTGTTACCCTCCAATGCCACATTATAGTTAGCTGTTTGGTCAAATTGTTACCCTCCAATGCCACATTATAGTGGAATGTTTGGTCATATTGTTACCCTCCAATGCCACATTATAGTTAACTGTTTGGTCATGTTGTTTCCCTCAAATGCCACATTATAGTTAACTGTTTGGTCATATTGTTACCCTCCAATGCCACATTATAGCTAACTGTTTGGTCATGTTGTTACCCTCCAATGCCACTTTATAGTGGAATGTTTGGTCATGTTGTTACCCTCCAATGCCACATTATAGTGGAATGTTTGGTCATGTTGTTACCCTCCAATGCCACATTATAGTGGAATGTTTGGTCATATTGTTACCCTCCAATGCCACATTATAGTGGAATGTTTGGTCATGTTGTTACCCTCCAATGCCACATTATAGTGGAATGTTTGGTCATATTGTTACCCTCTAATGCCACATTACAGTTAACTGTTAGGCCCTATTGTTGTCCTGATTTGCAGAGCTTTATTGTGATTTGCTGTGATTTAAACTATTTAACATACATTTACCCATTTATTAATTTTAACTCCAAATGGTATAATTTATTAGATACTTTGTCTTCTGTATTTCCATATGTATCATCATTATCCAAAAAGTGACTTTACAAACTTTAAAGGCTTAAACATAAGATTTATTGTATTATTGATTCATTACATGAATTCATGGACAAAATTGAGTTCAGAATGGAAATCAGGGAAATTTAGTCAAAACGTTCATTTTTTTCCTACTTTTTCACTGCTTTGAATATAATCCTTCACAGTAACAGCTTTGTATTCAAATGTTGAATCATTTACAAAATGGAATTTTTGGACAAGCTTGGTAGATTTGACTTTTATGGAATGGCCCTAAATTAGCAAGAAATCAAGAAATTGAGATATTCTGCAAATAAGAATCAAATAACCTTTCATCGCCTTTATTTGAACTTTGGTGGATAGTTGTGTCATTGGCAATAAAACCACATCTCCTTATTTTTATTTTTTTTTAACTTTAAGGATGTTTGCTTCTCTGTTTTAAAATAACAAGCTTTTTAAAAGACTGCTTTAAATTGATAGTATATGAATAATAGAACTAAAAAAAGAAGGGTCTGTGTACTTGTTTTCCAGATGTAAGCCATTGAAAATGTTGCTGGAAATGGTTCTCTCTAGAGTATTCATACATTTAACATTGCCACCTTTTTTCCTTCAAAAACTATGAAAAAATAACAAGGATTTTATAAGATCTTCAAATATGGCTTTTTAAACTATATGTAATAAAATTATGAAAAGAAAAGTAGGGGTTATCGGGCAAAATTTGTAATGGCAGTAAATGGATAAAACCAGAGGATTCCGAATATCTTACAAAAAGTCAAAAACAAGAGGATCCAGCGAACATCCTTAACACCCAATATAAACACAATTACAAAGGGAGTGAAAAGACTATTGTTTCCAGCACTCTTAATCAATAACATTTTACTATATTATATATGTTGTATGAAACCTAGTGTAGCTTTCTTTTCTTATAAAGCCAAAGTAGCTAGTGCATGCTTTCCTATGCTACCAAAAATCAAGACAAAATCTTAAGTGTAAAGTTATTTGATGTACACTAAAAAGAACATACCACTTCACCTTTTTAATAATAATACTAAAACAAACATGAAGGTTATATAATGCCACATACTTAATTTGTGTTTATATATGTATAGCTGTTGGTCTAATTTGTAATTAGAGTCACTTTGTATGAATGTATCAATCTGGTTTATGGTAGTACATACAAAACTAAAAGATTATCTCCCTTACATCATAATTTACAGTATTTAATGCTCTTTATGATAAAGACTGAAAGAGTTAAATCACCTCTGTGATACTAATGCCTTGAGTTTTGAAGGTTGTTGGTTCAATCCCCAGCAACCTTAAAACCAAAGACTTAAAATTTGTATTTGCTACTTCTGTGTAAGTATATGAAGGACTGATAGGCTCAGTATAACCTGTAGAGCTTCTTGTCATCCTGTGGACGGTTACATTAAGAACTAGCACATAAAATACTACCATGTCTGACTAGTAGGGTTCATATTCATATCACATTAACATATTCTTATATACATGTAATATTTACCACTGGACATTAAACACCAATTCATCATCAAGTTATTTATTTTTTTTACAAGATCTAGATCCTTGATTTGCTGGTAAAACTTGTATGATCTTGTTCAGTCATGCTGCATTTAAATTTTTAACAGCTACATAATGATTTATAGATATATATTTTCAGCATGCTTTATATTTAAGACTTTAATGACATTGATCTTAACCTAACAGCATACTTTATGAGAGTAGGGATCTGTTTTGTTTCAGATATGACCTGGATGATATGATACGTTTTACCATGACAGTCAAGAAGAACTACCGCAATGTTCCGTACCACAACTGGGCGCATGCCTTCTCTGTTGCTCATGCAGTGTACACTGTAATCAAGACAACTAAACACAGTTTCTCTCCTGTAGAAGTAAGTGTAAAGACAAAATAATTAGAAAAAATAAATTGATATTTATTTATTAAAATATACTTTCCCAAATTTGATGACCTTTATACATATTATTGAAGTTACCCAGTGGTGTGGTTTAGCTTAACATAGAGAATTAAAGTTTGTGCATATGTGAATTAGATATCATTTCTAAAGTTTGCTGAATAACATGGAAGTTTATTAAAGTCATCATTTTACTTTGAATGTTAATATCTATGTCTGTCCAGTGATCACATGGTTTGTTATGGTCTAATTAATTAATTAGAGAGTGAAGGTGTTTACCTGTTGTAGTATTTGTCAATGTTGAAAGTCATGTTTCAGATGATTGTGATTAGAATTTTTTATTTGTTGAGCACTAAATGTAGCATGTTTATGCCATGATTTAGACCATCGTGGTAAGACTTATTCCTTTTTATTTCAGTGTTTAGCACTATATGTAGCATGTTTGTGCCATGATTTAGACCATCGTGGTAAGACTAATGCTTTCATGGTAAAAAGTGCTTCACCTCTGGCAGCTATCTACTCTACCTCAACGATGGAACATCATCACTTTAATCACACAGTTACAATTCTTCAGGTATTCACAATTTTAAGCATTCAGATGAGTTACACAATTTTTTTTCAAATTTAAACCAAACTTCATATTTTATACATGAAATTAAACTTGATGATAATTGAATGACTGCTGAAAAAATAATTGTGAAGAAAGTTTTTTAGTTGTCTTAAAGAAGCTTTAGTTTTTTTAGTATACCATTTTGATGGGAAAACTAAGAAGTAATGTATCTACAATAGAAGTTTATCTTAGTGCATCAACAATGATTAATTATTTTTCAGAATGAGGGACACAATATTTTTAAGCACCTGACTTCTGATCAGTACAAGCAGGTATTTATCTTACTTTATAATTTGGTATTCATTGTATTAATTGAACATGTCTTTTTTAAGTTAAATGAGAGATCAGATAAATGGTGTTTCTTTTTCTTTAAAATTATTTTTAATGTTTCCTGAATGTTTAATTGTATTCAAAAACAAATTGATTATGGTAAGAAGGAAAAAAAAAGTTCATAAAAAAATCTAGTTATAAAAAGCACTATTCCTTAAATAGGGAAGATAGATAGAAGGGAATTTCACAAGATATGTGCCAATTTGTATTATTTCCAATATTTTCTTCCTGAAATGCCATTATTTGCTGTAATATTTTCATCCTCAAAACAATAGTGTTAAAATAAAACATAAAATTATTTTCCATTCTTTGTGAAATTTTAGTGATAGATGTTTACATTAATGAGACATCAACCCATCAACACAAATAACTGAAACATGTACTTTTTCCACAATAAATTAGATATAAAGTCTTGAAAAAAAGGATGTCAATTTGAACATGTAAAGGGTAACTGATGTTTGTGTTTTTCTGTAGTTTTATGTTATGTTTGTCAGGGATAAGTTATTTCTAATAAACAATTGACCACTCTTGTCTGATTCTTTTCATCACATTTTTATAGAATTACAAGTTTTGTACATTTGAAGTGCTTTCAGATGCATTTAAAATAATGACATGATTACATTGCAGATTTTAGGTGACATCAGGCAATGTATTTTGGCAACAGATTTAGCATTATTCTTTGGAAACCGGGCAAGATTACAGGAAGTTTCTGACAAAAATGAATTTTCATGGGATGATAGTGAACATAGGTAAATATAACCTGTTTTCTAGACTCATATAAGTGGTTCCTTTGATTCTTTATATTTCTGAAATTCGCAGGATAAATGAAGTTAGATTTTAGTTCAAAATATAATTCTGGGGTTTTGTTGTGTAAAAGGAGATCAGTAAGACAGTTACATTTTTATCATGACAGGGTCTAACCAGAGACTTTAAAATTTATATTTGCTTCTCCTCCTCTTGGCATATGTGTCATTATGGAAAAAGCAAAGCCTGACTGGCCAAGATTCAGAATATGTTTAGGTAGGAAAATCTAGCTCAGTGTGTAAATCTATTACATGTGACGTTAACAGGTTATAATCTTTAATATTCATGTAATATTTGCTGCTGGACATTTCACATTCATAGATCAATTGATAAGTATAACAGCACATGCTCTGATGTAGAAGTCTAAATAAGTGACTATATTTCTGATAAAATAAATGTACATAGAAGTTTTAATGCCCTTGTAATGAAAGAAGGGTTGTGTCAGTTCATCAAAGTAGCTGAAATTCATACTACCCATGAATGGAATTTTACACACAAAAACATTTCTGTTTTGTTTTAACAACTTTTGGCTCTGAGCATATTGATGAAGCAATATTATTTAGAACAAGTTTTACATTCATGAAATTTGTACCCATGTTTTAATTGAGATTTGATTGAATGAACTTTTATTTGATAACAGAAGATTATTACGTGCTGTAACTATTACGGCTTGTGATCTCTGTGCCAGTGCTAAACCATGGGATGTACAACTTCAGACAGTACATACAATATTTGATGAATTTTACATGCAGGTATAAATGGAATATTTTGCATGTCATGATGTCGTTTGTAATCATCTACAGTAGTAATCAAGGTCAGGGGTCAGGTTAAGAAATCAGCAGTTACCAAAATTGTAAATTGTGGTTTTTTTTGGGGTGTATCTGTTTATTTTCCTAGATTCTACAACTTAAACCTCACACAATCACTAAGGATTAATAAATATAAAAATCGCTTCCTGTTAATGTGAGGCAGACATTCCTACATATCACAAAATAGTTTGAAAGTGATAATCTACAGTAGCCCACTGCTATTGTATATAGGATACATATAGCAGAATGAGCTCACAGCAAAATTATCTCCACTTGTTTTTCTTTTTTTTCTAACTGTTTTTTATCTGAATGTGCATGATGTATATGCTTCCAGACTTCTTCTTTAAAAAACTATTCAATCCATCTTCTGATTTTAAAACAGAAACTGTAGGCAGCAAACAATTTATTCTTTTTTATGCAAAGTTCTACAGAAAATGTATGGTAAAGGAAAGGGGAGACAACTGTAGACAATTTTTTTTTCTTTACTGCTGTAGATATTGTATAGCAATTATTTATATTCTGCTTTATTAATTGTAAACTATCTGTCTGACCCTCTGATCTGTTTAATATTTACTGTGAATTCATAATTATTTGTGGGGAGCTAATTTTCATGGATTTTTTTTTGTTAAAGGTGAACCAAGAATTCAAGTGGTTCACAAAAAAATACCACCAATTTTAATTATTCCTCAATCTACGAAAATTAGGACCCACAAAAATAAATGAATCCACAGTAGGATACGACATGGAATTAAACATTTTACTGATTAAAAAGTGAAAAGGAATCTATATTTTTCCTTCACATTTATTGTAGTAAAAAGTTGTTTCCATATTATATCTTATGTTACATGGCTTTATTATACAGCTAGATATTTCATTCAGGATCAAAATATGGTTGAAAGTAAATTGGTAAGACTGGGGACAATCATCTATCAGTACCTGTATCCACATCTCTGCACTGATTTACAACAAATCTAAGGCTTTGGGGGACAATCATAAATCATTATTTACATTCGCCTTTCTGCATTGTAATGAACAACAAATCTAAAGCTTTTGGGACTATTATCTAGCATGACCAGTACAAACATTCGCCTTTCAGCACTATAATGAACCATAAGGAATTGGAGACCATTATCTAGTATTACTTTCATTCACCTTTCAGCATTCTGATTGACAGTGAGGATAAGGCTTTGGGGACTATTTTCTGGCATTTTCAGCACTCTGATTGACAGTGAGGATAAGGCTGTGGGGACTATTTTCTTGCATTTACAGCACTCTGATGAACAGCGAGGATAAGGATTTGGGGACTTTATTCTGGTATTTTCAGCACTCTGATGAACAGTGAGGAAAAGGCTTTGGGGACTATTTTCTGGCATTTTCGGCACACTGATGGACAGTGAGGATAAGGCTTTAGGGACTATTTTCTGGCATTTTCAGCACTGATTGACAGTAAGGATAAGGCTTTGGGGACTATTTTTCTGGCATTTCAGGACTCTGATGGACAGTGAGGATAAGGCTTTGGGGACTATTTTCTGGCATTTTTAGCACTCTGATGGACGGTGAGGATAAGGCTTTGGGGGCTTTTTTCTGGCATTTTCGGCACTCTGATTGACAATGAGGATAAGGCTTTGGGGACTATTTTCTGGCATTGTCAGAACAGATTTGGGGGACAATCTATCAATACCTGTATTCACCTTTCTGCATTCTGAGTGTAGGGCTTTTGGTATGATCATATATTATAAATTACATTCACATTCTGATGGACCGATAACGATAGTGCTTTGCAAAAATGATTTAGTACAGTACGTTGTACCTACAGTTGGCCATGGGATATTGATGTGTAAAGCTAAGGGTAAGCGACTTTACTCTTACACTAACAAGATAAAAGTCCTAGATCCTGACTTGAAATCAGGATTATGATAAAGCTGTATGATAACCTATAGTGAATGTTGAGTATGTTGTTACTGTTCTGCTTCATGTAGTATATGTATTTCCAGGCATGTAGTGATGGCTATATGCATGACAGCATGTGATCTTTGCTCTATGTATAAACCATGGGATATACAGCTCCAAGTCGTTAATGTTATCATGGAGGAGTTCTGGCTCCAGGTTTGTATATATATAAATCTTGGGATATACAGCTCCAAATTGTTAATGTTATCATGGAGGGGTACAGGCTCCAGGTTTGTATATGTAAATCTTGAGATATACAGCTCCAAGTTGTTAATGTTATCATGGAGGAGTTCTGGCGCCAGGGTTGTACATATAAATCCTTGGATATACTTCTCTAAGTCAATAATGTTATCATGGAGGAGTCCTGGCGCCAGGGTTGTACATATAAATCCTTGGATATACTTCTCCAAGTCAATAATGTTATCATGGAGGAGTCCTGGCTCCAGGGTTGTACATATAAATCCTTGGATATACAGCTCCAAGTTAATAATGTTATCATGGAGGAGTCCTGGCTCCAGGGTTGTACATATAAATCCTTGGATATACAGCTCCAAGTTAATAATGTTATCATGGAGGAGTTCTGGCGCCAGGGTTGTACATATAAATCCTTGGATATACTTCTCTAAGTCAATAATGTTATCATGGAGGAGTCCTGGCGCCAGGGTTGTACATATAAATCCTTGGATATACTTCTCCAAGTCAATAATGTTATCATGGAGGAGTCCTGGCTCCAGGGTTGTACATATAAATCCTTGGATATACAGCTCCAAGTTAATAATGTTATCATGGAGGAGTTCTGGCTCCAGGTTTGTATATATATAAATCTTAGGATATACAGCTCCAAATTGTTAATGTTATCATGGGGGGGGTACCGGCTGCAGGTTTGTACATGTATACGTAAATCTTGAGATATACAGCTCCAAGTTGTTAATGTTTTCATGGAGGGGTTCTGGCTCCAGGGTTGTACATATAAATCCTTTGATATACTTCTCCAAGTCAATAATGTTATCATGGATGAGTTCTAGCTCCAGGTTTTTATACATAAACTAGGATATAAAACTCCAAGTCTTAAATATTTTTTATGGAGGAGTTATGGCTCAAGGTTTGTATGTGTAATTCTTGGATATAGAGCTCCAAGTCAATAATGTTTTTTATGGAGCAGTTCAGGCTCCAGGTTTTATATATATCAATCTTGGTGTAAATCTAAGGATATGAAGCTCATGTTGATTTATGATATGAAGGAGTTCTGACTCCAGGTTTGTATGTATACATAAACAAAGTGATATAGAGCACCAGGTTGTTATCGTCAAGGAGCTCTGGCTCTAGGTTTGTATTAACCCATGGAATATACAGCACACTTCCATTGCTACCATGGAGGAGTTCTAGCTTCAGGTTTGTGTAGACAACCAATAGGTACAGAACCATTTATATATCTCTAGCATATGTTTACTCTATCATAAACTAAAAATAAATACATTAAGTTACACTTCTTTCAAGTAAATATGTAAAACTATCACTTTAGTAAGTTGTTGAAAAAATTTGGTGTACAAATTGATCTTTCAGTTTTAATGTAATTTTTTGGCCCAGTCAGATTATTCACACAATACGGTATTCATACACCAACAATGAATAACAAAAACAATCAGTTCTTTTGTAAACCTTGGTTACTGCCATTGATTGAAAGTTAGATACATTTTACCTGATTTGTTTTTTTTTTTCAAATTCAAGCTAAACTTTATGAAAACTGGGAAACTATTGTTTTAAAATATGTTTAAAATATCTTGATATATATTTTAATGAATTTCAGATAGATTTATTTCAAGCAAAAATCTTCCCTCTTTAGTGTAAACATATTTTACGTCATTTGGACTCGGGTAGAGAGTTGTCTCATTGGCAACCATACTGCATCTTGTTATTTTTATATTTCCATGTATGATAACTAGTATAAACAAGTATGAAGTATAAAGTGATTCCAAAAAATGGGATTTATATCATTCAGATTGATCATGCTATTCTTTAGTATAAACCTTGTTAGGTTCCAACTGGTATAGAATTGAAACATATTTTAGGGTGATGAAGAAAAGAGGTTTAACGATCAGACAATACCTTGTATGGATCGTAACTTTGCTAATAATTTACCAGATAATGAGGTATAGAACTTCAGTCATTATCCTACATATTTAATATGATACACTTTTAAATGGGTACAGAAATAAATGTATTTAAATTTTATCTTAAGTTCAGTAAAACAGTTTGTTTACCTTTTACAAAGCATTGACTTTTATTGTTTGATGACTGATTTGTATTGGATAATATTTCTGTGTCCATTTATAGCACTGTGATTCATCTGATTACCACAATAGAATTGTATTAACTGATCACAAAGTCCCAAAATTTATTCTTCTACTAATGGATTTGATAAAAAAAAAAAAAAATCAACAAAATTCAGCAAAATATTAAAGTTCACTGAAGTATTTGTATAATTAGATAAAATCACATGTGTATTATATTATATATGTATTGAAATATCATGAAAATATTTGTTTTAAGCCATGAATATTTTGTTATCTTTCAAATCTTTAATTTTTATTGTCAATTTAGATGTGATCTTAACATATAAGAAAAGGATTTATAAGAAATTACAAAGAATTAAATTTTGGGATAGTTTGAATTGATTAACTTTTAACACACAGGGTGATGAAGAAAAATCACAAGGTTTGACTCCAATGCCGATGATGGACAGAGATAAAAAAGATGAACTTCCACACTTAGAGGTAGGCATGTTCACTTTTCTTATTTTATCAGTTTTATTCATATTTACAATATGATATTCCAATTATTTATATTTACAAGACTTGTCCATACGTTATCTTCTAGAATATTTTATATCCTTGAAAAGGAATCAATAGGTTCTCAGGACACACAACAAATAAAGTGTGAATTTGTATTGTAGTGTATCTATATAATAAGTTAATATTGTGCTTGTTCACCTTGCAATCACTACAAGTTTTGAAATATGGCCTGCATTAACATTTTTAGGAATAAAACTCATAAATTCAAATGGAAAACAAGTGAACCTGTGAGAAAATTGTCAACCATCAACTTCGAAGACTATAGACTTACAATACATTTCTGTCAGGCTAATTATAGTTTTGTGCTTGCTTTCTAACAATTGATAGTTTGGCTTTCCAAAATTTGTTTAGAGTGTACCTAATTGGTGCTATTGCAGGAATATGTCACAGCATCATAGCTTTAAATAACCTTCACAGTGACCTTAATTGACACTTTCACATAATTTGATTTCAATTATTTTCTATTCAAAATGATATACAAATTTGTACTCGCATTATGTTCTTGAATAAATGTGAACTTTGTGAGACTTCATGAATGCTGCATTTTTATTCTTTTATGAAGAAGGTATTATATGACAAAAACCAGTGAATACAATAATGACAAATTAATGCTATTATCTGTTATCATTAATTTGAACATTTTAGACTTAGATATTGTCTAATTTATTTGTTTTGTGACCTCAATCTAAGTTTATTGAAGAATAAGATAAACTACCTAAACTGCAATGCTTTGAAATTTTGGTATTTTAAAAAGATATGAGGAAAAGCCTGGCTAATAAGATATGATACAAGATTTTCCCCTAAAGACTTTTATTAATGAGGCTTGAATATCTAGTGTATTGCTGTTGGTCATATTGAATTTTAATCAAATACTTCTTTTGTCGCATATACAATTTGATGTGGCATGATTATGACATCATTTTGACATGATAATATTGCTACAAAAAAAGTCATGATTTTGAAAGGATCTAAGAAATTTGAATTTTTGTAATTTAATAATCAATTATGACTTCTCTCATACCTCCTCTTTTAAGTCAGTTTTAAATCTTAACTTTTTTCCCTTTATACAAAAAAAAGTTTCCATCAAATTATTTGTTTGTATAATTAGAGATTTATGTGTTTATATTTCTGTTTACAGGTTGGGTTCCTGGTTGGTATTTGTTTGCCATGTTATGAACTAATGGCTCAGGTATTACCGAATACCAAACCTATGGTGGATGGTGCTGTGTAAGTACAGTGTTATGTTTGGTAATGGATTAAAACAAAGGCTAATTAGGCTATCGAATTTTATAATGGGAATGCCCTTTTCATATACAGTAAACAAGATAAAAACCTTAGCAGTTATAGATGAAGCATTTACCTGAATTATAATTGAGCCCACTATAAAATATATTGCATTTAACTTACCTGTCTGTCTGTTTGTTTGTCTGTCTCTCTGTTTGTCCAACGAATATTTCAGGTCTCACTTTTCTCTGGTACTACTTTACAGAGTGATTGTTTATTTGGTCAGCAGCTTGGCAATGATGAGTTGTAAAGTGTGAACATTTTTCAAATCTGCAAGACACCTACTTCCTCTTTGCTGATACTTTGAATTATTCAATTTGTTGAATGAACTTAAACATTTGCTTCAATTTAGATCTTTCCTCAAATTAGTCAGCAGCTTGTCAGTGATGAGTTGTAATATGTCAGCTTTTTCAAGATCAGTCACTACTTCTTGTATGCTAAGCGAGACATCACAAGCATTCTTGTTTAGATTTATTCCTTCGGTTAATCAGGTTCATTTTACAACTTTATTTTAAGAGTAATGTTGTTTTGTTGAATTCATCCGCAAGAAAATGAACAGGTCGTAAATTAACATAAATAATTGTGAAGTGCTTTTATTTTGGCAAAAATCTTAGAAATATGATAAACACACACTCACAAGAATAAGATTAACTATTGCAAAAAACCTAAAAAAATTCTAGGTATGCAGTACAGGTATATTTAAGATAGAAGCTTCCAATTGCATATTTAGGATTTCTAATTCATCTTTGTCTGTATTCTCTAAATACTAATATTGATTATCTGTTTCCAGATCTAATTTGAAAAAATGGAAATACCTCGCCGAAAATAAACTAACTGTAGATCAGCTCCCTCCAGAACAGTTGGTCAAACAATTGGAATATAAAAGTAGTGAAAATAAACAGGAGGCCTTGGAAGGAAATAAACAAGATTCATCGGAAAAAAATAAACAAAGAGAGGAAGAGGAATCAGATAAACAAAATGAACTCAATGCTAAAGCAGGAAACAAAGATGAACTAACAGAAGAAAGTAAAATGGAATCAGTGGAAGAAAACAAAAATAAGTCTATAGAGAATCAGTCAGATAAAGGGAGCTTACTCACAGACGTTAGATCTGAATCATCTGTCTTGGTTCATAGTGATAACGATAATAATTTAACTGAACAGATTCATGACAACACATGATAAATCGTCCACTATTACAGTTCAAAAGTGCTCATCCATCTGTTCTCTATATAGTATGTGCCATTGTACTGGTCAACAGTTATCAATATCATGTGATATTTTATTTGTTTATGCTTAAACTTCGGTAGAAGGGGGCATAATGTTTTCTGGTCTGTTCATCTGTCTGTCAGTCCATCTTATTTCAGATTATAGTTTTTGGTTAAGTTTGAGGTTTATCATGAAGTTGTGGTCACATCAACTTGAGACTATGTGCATATGATGTAAAAAAAATTTATACCAAAGTATAGTTTTTGATCCCTATTTCATGGTTCGCTGAACATGGAAATGTGATAGTGTGAACTTAGTACCTTCTTGTGATAAAGTTTTTCATTTACCATGCAGCTTTGGTCACATCAGTGAGAAACCTATGACACTTGTTCATTTCGTGATAAAGTTTTCAGATTTTATGCCAGATTATTATTTGACCCAGATTTGACCATTGACTGAACATTGGCACATGATGGTGCAGGTGGGGCAGGCGGGGCATAGTGACGCATATTCTTGTTTATTATTTCATTAAGGAAGGACATTTATTATTTGATCCAAAAAAATGTTGAAAAGTGTTTTTAATAAAAATCCACATTGAAATTTTCAAGTCACAATTAGGATTTCAAGTCAATATGGATGTATTATGAAAGTTTATAACTCTATGGCTTTCTTGACTTAAAGTGTTATCAACAGTTTTACTCTCACATGAAAATTGTTTTATTAAACAGCTTTTTATCTTTTTACATAAATGGTATTATATTAAAAGAAAAGTTTGATCTTTTGTGTACAGTGAACATATATATATATATTGGTGCAAACAAGCAAACAGTGAGTTTCTGTGTATGTTACATCCATTTTCGGTATTGTCATGCTGTACACACATGTATGTGAGTTAGTGTAAAAGTAGCATTATTTATACATTATACTTGTAGCATTGTTGAATTGTTAGATCTCCAAACAACATAATCCAGTCATGCCAAAAAATACATATAGGTGTGTGTTCAGATTTTATATAAGCAGAATTATTTTTTATTAACTGATCACCGATCATATTTGTTTACTCATATTTTATGACCTTTCCAAAATTTGCTAATATATTTTAAGAGGTACTGGTATTTCGTTTATTCTCATTTATTTTTTAATGAGAGGCAGAATTTCTTTCCAAAAATAGACGTATTTACACTTGTATGCAAATTTGTCCGCCATGACTTAAAATCAAACAAGTTCTCATAAAATTTGACATCACAATTTAAAAAATTTGAAGTCATAATTAAAACGTGGTTGTTGCTTGACGTCAGAAGTTATTCAGAGCAGATCTAAGGTCATTCGGAGACAAAATTCAGCTAAATACCAAAAGTGTAAATACGTTTATTGAAAAGTGCATTTACTTCAAAAATAATAACAATAAATATTGTTAATTCAAATATTTTAAGCATTGTGTTATTTTATGAAAGATGCTTAATTTTAGAATGTTAGGTATAAAACAGCTTGTATATTGGTTCATTATTATTTAACATTAAACACAAGTATCCAGTACAAATTCTCAGTTGTGCTCAGATTTTGAGACATGATGTACAGATAGTCATTGGGGATATCCTAATTTTAGGATATTGTTAAGAGATGGATAGTTTTAAGTACAGACAGTCATTTTGGGATATTTTGTAAAGAGATAGATTATTTATTGTTGTTTTTTCATTTAGAGTCAGCTGTTGCTATTTGTTTTTATTTGCTTCTTTGAAACACAAAAAATACTCAAGTTAACTTTGAATTTTTAATTAAGTGATAGCCTGATCATATTTTTTTAATTTATTTCTTTTGAATTGTCCATTTATAATAACTTTATCCTTGTAAGGGTTTTATGTGTAGACTTGATATTATTTCTCTAAACAAACATTACTAAATAGTATCATAGAATTTTTACAGGATAAGCACACTTCTTGTCTTCTTAATAAATTATCCTGAAGCTATTATTTAAAACCAAATAGCAAACTTAATTCTGGGAAAAACTAAATTTAGATGGAAGTGATAATCACATGTATCTTGGTTTATCCCAAAATATGAATATTCAAAATTACAATAATGAGATATGACCAAATCTATTGTGTACTACTGTATAGTAATAATTGCTCTCATAAATAAAGCCAAAATGTAACTTCATTTCCATGGTAATTAACATGTTTTAATGTTTGTAAAAGAAACGGTTGTTTTCTCTTCATCAAAGTTCAGTTCCATACTCCAGCTGCTATTGTGCACTGGTCAGTTGTTTTAAGTGGACATATTTGTACAATGTAAATTATACAGTATTTTATTGTAGATCAAAAGGAATAATATATTGATAATATTGATATTGTGATATTGTTATTCATTAAATTATTATTTTATACTATGTTTCTTTTAATTCCATCTCACCAACAATGCTTATTTAAAGAAACAGACTTTGTGTTGATTAATATATCAAAAGTATTTCATTAATACAGATATACAATGATATATATAATCCAGAGGTGGATTTATTGTGTGGCAGGGTGCCCAGGCCCCCCTTTATGGAGCTATATTTATGTGAGCCAAAATTTGTTCCTGTGAAAAAGTTCCAGTGGAACTTATATCACAGGAAATATGTTTTGGGAGAACTTTTTTCACAGGTAATTTCTATATGATTTAAAATTGTTCCATCTCTATAAAAAAAGTTCCACCCTTTACCTGGTGAAATAAGTACTGGGTTGGTGAAATTTGTTCCTTACCTAGTGAAATAAGTTCCGGGTTTATGAGATTTGTTCCTTATCTGGTGAAATAAGTTCTGGGTTTGTGAGATTTGTTCCTCACCTGGTGAAATAAGTTCCTTGTCTGTGAAATATGTTCCACTTGTTTAACAAGTTATCTTATATACTGAGCATTTGTCATCAGTGAGTTTAAAGTTATCATTCAAGTGCATTATAAAAATAAGTATTATATTAATAATATAATTGATAAAAAGTGTAAATCATCCAGTTTGGATCCTATGGAGTATAGCAAATGTTTAATTATACACTCTGTAAAAAATATCTAAATGACACTTTTGAACCAGAAAAGATTAGAATAAGAAAAATCATTCAGAAAAAAGTATAGTTTAAGAGGAACATATGTTATAATTTTAAAAGGACAAAGTGACTTGATCATTTATAAAGTATCAAAAGACACACTCTTTTGAAACTGTGCCATGTCCTATGTACATGTATGACTGGAACACGGGGCCATGACAGTTAACAGGAACCAAGGAGGAATACCGCATAAAACATAAATACAAATTATGATACATTACCATCGCTTTTATTTCTTATCTTCATCCTATAGTTACAGTCATGCCTTCAATTGCAAATGAATCCCATGCAAGTACACTCAGTCCAGCATTTAGCTTGCATTATAATTTAAGTGTAACAAGAAAATGTTTCAGTGTGCAATAATGATTGAGTGGAACTTATTCATTAGTTTCTATGAAATATTTACATGTTCGTTTAAAACTAATGTCACAGGAACTTATTTAAAACTTTTTAATATTAATTGAAACAAAATTCATGGAGCTATGATTTTTGTTCCGGAACTTATTTCACATTTGGCCAAAAAATTAGTTCTGGAGCAAATTTTACAGTGCTGGAACATATTTTCTGTGATATAAATTCCGGTGGAACATATTTCCTATGAAATTTGTTCCGGCGGAACAAATGTCATGCCGGAACAAATTTTTTGTTACATTTACAGTTAATGCAGTTTTTTTACCTGTTCCATTTCAAACGTTGCCTAGTTTGGGCGCCCAATACCCCTTTTTTCAAAATCTTAGATCCTGATCTGTAATCAGGAGAACATTAATTACTATGTATGGTCTGCATCATCTATTCTCAGCAATGTTTGCAGCCATTGATAAATTAACAACTATTAAGAAATAACTATGAAACATCTTTTCAAGTTGATAATTTTGAAAATGAATACCTACTAAATTAGGTTTAGAAGAGAAATAGAAATTTTGTCAGCAAGCAATCGGACAATTACATGTAAAAATCCTTGGTGTTCTGTAACATTGATTGTACAAAGTTATAGGTTCTTTTGTGATATGAAAATCTTCATATGCTTGGAAACATGTCCTGATTGACAGGTGTCAGACCACCAATTCAAAATCTCTATCTCAACCAAATTTTGCAATTTTCACAGCTTTCTCAATATTTTACCCTAAGTTTAACTTTATAGAAACCATGTATATCCTGAATTGTACATGTATCACCTTTCTACATGCCAATTTTCAACCTACCTTTAAAGTCTTATAAGAAAGAACTGACCTTTGGAACACAAGTACTGCTAAAAATAACCGCAGGTTTTCTGGAAATCTTAAATTAGTATACTATGGAGCGCATTAATCCTCAGTTTTTAATGCAAACTCATAGACAAGTAAATTTTGCCTCAAAATGATCTAAATATATTTCTCTTTCACCAAAAATTTCATTTCTGCAAATGTGGTGGTAAGTTTAAGTAAACAATGACATCAAAAGTACTATTTTGTGTCAGAGCAGGGCTACTTTTACATATGTTCTAAATTGGAGGGAGTGAATTGGTGGTCTAACACCTAAAGTAACACTGAATATGACAGATAACACATTCTCCCTTATCAGTAACACTGAATGTGATTGGTAACACATCATCCCTGATTAGCAACACTGAATGTCCCAGGTAATACATCTTCCCTGATCAGTAACACTGAATGTGTCGGGTAACACATTCTCCCTAATCAGTAACACTGAATGTGCTGGATAACATATCCTCTCTGATCAGTATCTCTAAATGTTCTGGGTAACACATCCTCTCTGATCAGTAACATTGAATGTGCTGCGTAACACATCATCCCTGATTAGTATTCCCTTCTATTCTACCATATAGTGACCGCCTTCAACAAATTGAAGATTATGTCACAGGAGGAAACTTACAACAAGACATAGATTGATATATATACAATCTTTAAAAAATACAAAAAAAATAAAAAATGCTTTGTATAATATAGTATGATGTAATAGTTGAGTTAATATTGATGCTTCGAAATTGAAGATTTGAAAGAGTCTACTGAAGTGCAATTTACAATGTTGTCCGGTAGTTTGTTCCAGTCGGTAATAGTTCTTGGAAAATAGGATTCTTTTCTGTACTGTGTTTTGCAGGATGGAATTTGGAAGCTGTTCGAATTTGAATGTCTTGTTTGTCTTTTTTGTGGGATTAATTTTTTTATTTTTAGGTATTGCAACCTTTTCGTGTTCAATTTTATAAAGCATTACCAATCTTGAGTCTTTTCTTCTGTCAGAGAGGCTGCGCCATTCAAGATGTTGTAACATGTTACCAACGCTTGAGGTGTTTCTGTATTTGTTGGTAACAAGACGCGCAGCCCTCCTTTGAACTTTTTCAATGCTATCTATGTCTTGTTGTAAGTATGGATCCCAAACAGAGCAAGCATACTCTAGTGATGGTCTTACTAGGGACTTCTATGCTTGCTCTTTAATTGATGTTGAGCTTATGTTCAGATTCCTCCTTAGAAAGCCTAGGGTGCTATTAGCTTTCTTGCATATGTTGTTTATGTGCACATCCCATTTAAGGTTGGAACTGATGGTAACCCCCAGATATTTTGCTGTTTTTACATGTTCTAATGAGTGATTGTGTAATGTGTAGTTAAATTTGATTGGTTTTTTATTTCTGGTGACTGAAATTACATTACACTTATCTGGGTGGAATGCCATTTTCCACATACTTTCCCACAATGCCAGTTTGTCAAGATCTTTTTGTAATGTGGATGCTTCGGAATTTGATTTTATTGCCAAATACACTATTGTGTCGTCTGCAAATAAACGTACTGTAGATGTAAGACCAGTTGGAATGTCGTTAATATAATACAGGAAGAGACTTGGTCCAAGAACTGACCCCTGTGGAACCCCTGACTCAACTGCAACATACTCTGATTTTTCCCCTCTAGAACTACTGCCTGTTTACGATTGCTTAGAAAACTTTGTATCCAGTAATTTAATTCCCCCTGTATCCCGTAATGGTGAAGCTTATTAGTTAGAAGAGAATGTGAAACTTTATCGAATGCTTTAGAAAAATCCATGACCAAAATATCCGTTTGTTTACCGTTTTCCATGTTAAGTGAGACATCATCTATAAATTAAAGTAGTTGTGTTTCGCAGGATCGACCTCTGCGAAATCCATGCTGTAGGGGATATAAAATGTTGTGATTATCTGCATGTGTCATGATGTGTTTAACTACTATGTGTTCTAAAAGTTGGCAACAAATGCATGTGAGAGATATAGGGCGGTAGTTTTCAGGGTTATATTTTTGGCCTTTTTAGTATACAGGAGAGACATGGGCAGTTTTCCAGTCATCTGGAACAACACCTGTTTTAACTGACTTCTCAAAGATAATGGTAAGTATTGGTGCAATTTCATGTGAAAGTTCTTTTAAAAATCTTGGTTTAATTTCGTCTGGTCCTGCTGCTTTGTTAGGATTTAAGTTATGTAAAAGTTTTTGTATACCTTCTGTTTTTATGATTAATTTTGTTATGGGTGGAAAAAGAGTATTCTGTGGCATGTTACACTGTTTGACAAATTCTTTATGGGAGATATTTGATGCTGGTGTGAATACAGACTGGAATTGTGCGTTAAGTGCCCCAGCTTTTTGTAGTGGATCAGTTAAGAGTTTGCCATCTTGTTTAATTTCAGTAATACCACTATAATGTTTAATATAGGTCCAAAATTTTTTCATAGTGCCAAAATTTGTTCCATCTTGTGGTGGTAATATGATGCTTTCAATGTATTCCCAGTATGATTTTCGTATACATTCTGTACCTGGTGTTTAACACTGAATGTCCCAGTTAACACATCCTCCCTCATCAGTAACTCTGAATGTGCTGTGTAACACATCAACCCTGATCAGTAACACTGAATGATCTGGGTAACACATCCTCCCTCATCAGTAACTCTGAATGTACTGGGTAACACATCAACCCTGATCAGTAACACTGAATGATCTGGGTAACACATCCTCCCTGATCAGTAACACTGAATGTACTGGGTAACACATCCTCTCTGAGCAGTAACACTGAATGTACCAGATAACACATTATCCCTCATCAGTAACACTGAATGTGCTGCGTAACACATCATCCCTGATTATTAACACTGAATGTCCCAGTTAACACATCATTCCTGATTAGTAACACTGAATGTACTGTGTAACACATCCTTCCTGATCAGTAACACTGAATGTACTGGGTAACACATCCTCTCTGAGCAGTAACACTGAATGTTTTGGATAACACTTTCTCCCGGAACAGTAACACTGAATGTGCCAGGTAACACATCTTCCCTGGCCAGTAACACTGA